GTGGACCAGGTGTGGCTGGGCTGTAGCATCCAACAGTAAGTAGGAGAATGGGTGTGGGCTGGTTGGGCAAGGCCACTGATCCTGTTAAGATAGGAGGTAGACTAAGTCAGTCTGCCAAGGATCCACCGGTGTGTGAGATCTGCCACTGGGAGGAGGCCTGATGGAGGAGCTTGGAGAATTCCTTTGTTGGGCTGCAGTCCCTGCAGGTGAGTGCAAGAACCAAGGCAAGTAGCCCAGACCCTGCCAAGTTACAGTACCCCATGGCATATGTGTGGGTTAGTTATGAGGCGCAAGCCAGGCTGGGCCAGTTCATAACACCCATTGGCAGATCTGAAAATCAGGACAGGATGCAGGACAGGCTGGGTCAGGAGGCAACACCAGTCAGTCCACATTAGGGTCAGGACTAGGAACTGGGTGGGCTGGGTGGTAGCACCCACCAGCATGAGCTGGAACTAGAGGCAGACTGGGCTGGGCCAGGCTACAGTACCCACCAGCAAATGCTGCAGTGAGATGGGCCATGCCAGACTGGGCTGCGGCACCCACCAGCGCATGTAAGACCCGGCGGGGCGGGGGGAGGGTGCGGGGGAGAGGTATGAGCCCAGTAGTGGGGTTGTAAGGAGCTCTCCTGCTGTGCCACTGCTTTCATTGGTGCGTGTGGGTACTAGAACCAGGGGCAGACCAGACTGGGCAGGGCTACAACACCTGTTGGCCTGCATGTGAACTGGATTGGGGGAGAGCCAGGTTGGGCTAACAGACTGTATTCACTGGTGCATGCATGAGCCAGAGTAAGTGCAGGCTGGTTGGGGTTGGCTGCAGCATCAGCTGGCAAGTGCTTGGACTAGGGGCAAGTCCTGTCAAGTTAAACTGCAGAACCACCTGAAGAGTACAAGATCAAGGTCTGGGAGTGGGCTCAGGAGGGAGACTGTGGGCACCCCTCCTAAGGGCTGCAACCTCCACTGGTGAGCATGAGTTTCAGGGCTGGGGGAGGACCTGGCTAGGCAGGCAGTGGCAGCCATCAGCATAAGTGTGGGCTGGACAGTGAGGTTAGCTAGATTAGCTGGGTTAGCTGGACAGTGAGGTTAGTTGGGCTGAGTTAGATTTCAACAGCCACTGATGTGTACAAGAGATGAATGGGATGCCGGACATACTGGGCTAGTCTGTTGCACATAGTGGCAAGCATAGGAACTAGGGCTGGGGGTAGGCCTGGTGAGGGTTACTGGGGGTTGCTCCAAGTAGGCTGCAGTTCCTGCTGGTGTACATGAGGGCCAAGTATATGGTGGACAGGGTTGGGCTGGGCTACAGCATCTATTGTTTTACATAAGAAATGGGGCTGGAGATAGAAGTGACCCAGCAATTGCAACTAGCTGTGTGTGCATAGGCTAATATAAATGACGAACTGAGCCGGGCCTTGTGCTGGCAAGCACACACAAGAATCAGGTCTGGGATCATCTCAGACAAGATTTCTGTGGGGGATCTTCCCAACTGAACCTCTGGATGCAGATCTCCAACCGTGGGGAGATTCGTAGGCTCTGTGGTCTGACCGTGCAGTGTGTGTGTCAGACTGGGCCTCATGAAAGGCTAAAACAGAGCAGTGGGTGGTGTGTGTAGGAGGGAGGACTGCTGAGGGAGTCCTACAACACACTGATGGAGTATGATGCAGGTGAGGAATGCCTTCCGAGGGACTTCTACTGACAAGGCCACTGTGCTTGCTGAGCATGCACTGCATGTGCCAGAACTCCTCAGTGGCTCAGATGGAGCAACGAATGGCAGGTGCAGATGCACATGGAGGAAATGGCAGTCCACTGGGGCCTGCAGAGGACATCTGGTGACATGCCAGGGTATGCAGGGCAGAAGGAATTGGTCAGCTACCCCAGTCAGGTGTTGATAACAAATATCTGGGCGACTGTAAGGTGGATTCCATCAGCCAATGGACCTTGTGAGGATTTCCTCATCCTTGCCAGGGTACTGGGAACAGTTGGGGTGCTGGGTGCAGCTTCTCCCCTAATTTCCCCTCTTCCCCCACATACAGGAGAAGGAGAGAGAAAATGAAGAAAAGAGTGCTGTCATCTGCTTTTTCCTAGTTTTCAACCCTTCCCACGCTGGTCAACTATGTAAACATCATAAAAAAAAAAAAAAGACTGAGCAATAGCCTAATCTTGTAGTCTTGGGGAAAGTGTTCATCAGGCAGCCCCTGGGGACACACCGAAGGGACCCTCATGAGGATGCAAACCCCTACAGACGTGCACGCACTCAGTTCCACTGAAGTCAGAAACCTTAGCAGCTTATTACACAAGGCATTCCACCATGGGATGGGGGCATCACAGGCTAAACAACTGTTGCAATAATGGCAATTTTCGCACTCCCTGCTGAATGGTTGTGCCTTGGCTATGCAGGACTCGCCTCCAGCCTGCCATCTGAGGGTGTGTGCCCTTCTTCCCCTTCTTCCTAACCTCAAATTACGTCATCTGAAAACACCCTCCTCCACTGCTGCTTCCTGCTGTACTTGTCAGGGTTTGGGTGTTCCTGTGGTGTTTAAGGCTCTGTGTCCCTTGGTCTGGCTCTTTGCCCAGTTTCCTGGTGGGCCCTGGACTGTTGGATGTGGTGGTGCCCTCATGATAGTCCATGGCTTGGGCCCTGTGGATGGATCTTTCCTGGCAGTGGGGGATGCGGTTCTTCTCCATTTTTTCACCCTCCTAGTTTGAATCCACATTTCCAGATCTCTTTCCCACAGGCATAGTCGTCCTTTGATGGCTCTTTCCTGAGTCTCTCCTGGGACCCACAACTCCCCTTCCATGGGTGTTCTCTTCCTGTCTTTCCCTATAGTCTTGTCTCAGGTCCAAGTCTCCTCCTCCTCTTCCTTTTCTTCCTCCTCTTCCTCCTTCTTCCTTGTCTGGGCCTTAGATTCTGAAAAACATGTGTAGAAGACCAGCAACTGCCTGGAGTGGTTGTCATGCTAACTACTGCAGGGAGTCTTAATCTCATAACCAGTCAAGTGGCTCCAGAGAGCTGGTTAGACACAGGACCTTGGGAAGGCATTGCAGGGATTGAGGGTTTAGCTGAGCAGTGAAGACACCATCCAGGACATCAGTGACTCGTTTTGAACTGCCTGGGTTTGAGTTCTGGCTCCATGTCTGATTCTAGCTTCCTGCTGACGTGCACCATAGGAGGCAGTAGTCTCTGTAGGCAGCTGGGTCCAGCATCTAAAGAGTGAACCAACAGATGGGAATCTGTGTTATGTGCCTCTCAAATAGTTTAAAAAATAATTTTTATAGAGAAAAGATGCGCTTATTGAATGCTTAGGTTTTGTTTTCTGCTTCCAATTGGTGCCAACACTGGACGTCAGTGGTGATGGTTCAGGTTACTGGGCTCCTGCCACCTGCATGAGAGATCTGGACTGAATTCCTGGCCTTTGGCTACTGCCCCCAGATGGCCTCAGCTGCTGCAGGCATCTGGACAGCGAGCCAGTGGGCATCAGCTCTGCGTGTCTCTCCGTCTCTCTGCCTTGTAAATGATAATGTTCTTGTTGTTGTTGTTTTAAGGATTTATTTATGTATTTGAAAGAGTTATAAGTTGGGGGAGGGGTGTGGAGAGAGAGAGAATCTTGCACCCACTGATTCACTTTCCAAATGACCACAATGATTGGAGCTGGGTTGTTTCAAAGCCAGGATCCTGGAAGTTCTTCCTGGCCCCTCATGTTGATGCCGAGGCTCTAAGGTCATCCTCTTCTGCCTTCTTAAGCCACAGCAAGGAGCTGGATCAGAAGGGACTTGAGACTTGAACTGGTGCTGCTCACAGTGGTTTTACTGGCTGTGTCATAGCACTGGCCCCAGCAAACAATTACATTTTTAGACATTTCCAAAAAATTACTTGACATATCAGAGTCAGGCAACTTGCTGCACATCTTACACAACTTTCTCCTTTTGTATCCCAGGAAAATGAGATGAAAAATCAAGGACACAGTTTTATCCATTGCTGTGAAATCAGCTTTTTTTTTTTTTTTTTTTTGCTTTGAGGCCAATGAAGTTGCCTCCTACTTAGCTACTGTATGGGAATCTTTGGGTCTGCGGTTTCACAATAATGTATGTGAGGCATCAATTAACACTTGGAGCCTCTCTTGCCACGTCTGGGGAAAGGAGTAGGAGGGAGAAGAGCCTGGGACTGGGCAGGGCCAGGCCAGGGGAGGAGCAGGGCTGGAATCAGGGGAGAAGGGGACACGGGAGGACACCGAGCGGCCACTGTGGGCTTGGGGCTGTGAGGAGGAGGCATTGCCATCAGGGTGTGGTGGGAACAGCCAGGGAGGAGCTTGGCCTGGGAGCAGGGCACTTGGGAGGTGCAAATGCTTGGGAAGGATGGAGCTGTTTGCCATGTCTGTAGAATGAATATGGGCAGGAAAGAAGGACTCCTGAAACACGGTGGGATTGTCTCAGAACAAAAAGCAGTCAGCAGAGAGGAGGTTCCTGCAAGGAACACCCAGGCATGGCCAGAAAATGCCAGGTGTCCCTAGAGCCCAGACACCTGCTTAAGAGCCCCAGGGTGCCCCAGAGCACGCCGACCACCCCTGCTTCATATGACGGGCTCTGAGCCAGGATTCCTCTGATTCTGACAGCCACGTGGTCTGGCCTACGTGATCCGTTCCACACCCCTTCCACCTCCCCCACTGATGGTATGTTTTGTGCACCAGCCTCACTCACCTGACAGGGAACTATGGCGGGTCTGTGAGCACGATGGTATGGCAGGTCTGTGGGCATGGTGCACTGTGGGAGATGAGACACAGTTTGTGCTCTCAGAGTTAGCTGGGGCAGGTGCCAAGCGTGCCATGCATGCTGCCATACTGGGGAGGTGGCACCCAGGAGTGAGGGGTGGAGGAGTCCAGGTATGAAGGACAGGGTTGCAGTAACCCTGGCCGGCAAGCAGAGGGCAGCAAAAGAAGAGGGTAGAGGATAGAGCTCTCTGCCATGTGTGACCCAGACTCACCGCTCTGCTCTGATCCTTGGCAGAAGAGATGCCCTTCGAAGGAGCCCGGCTGAGCATGAGGAGCAGGAGGAACGGTGGCCTGGGCAGCACACGCACCCTGTACTCCAGCGTGTCTCGGAGCACAGATGTGTCCTACAGCGAAAGCGTAAGTCACACGTCTGCCGGCCAAGCTGTAATCCTTTTAGAAAGCAAGGTTGTGGCGGTGGAGGCCATGTGAGAAGATCCTCTCTCAGTGCAGAATGTATCATCATGTGCTCTCCTGGGTCATTCTGTAAGCAGTTCAGCTTTTGCTTAGCAGTTATTTTATTTTGGTCTGCAAGGCAGAATTACAGAGAGAGAGAGAGAGAGAGAGAGAGAGAGAGAGAGAGAGAGAGAGAGAGAGAAATCTTCCATCCGCTGGCTCACTCTACAAATGGATATAATGACCAGAGCTGGGCCAGTCCAAAGCCAGGAGCCAAGAGCTTCTTCTGGATCTCCCACCTGGGTACAGGGGCCCAAGGACTTGAGCCATCCTCCCTGCTTTCCAGGGTGCATTGGCATTGCGCTGGATGGGAAATGGAGCAGCTGGAACTCAAACAGGCACCCACATGGGATGCCAGCACTGCAGGGGGTAGCTAAACCACAGTGTCGGTCTCCAGTATTTCCATTTTAAATTCTTTGCTTTGCTGCTTCTGCTGGTTCTGGAGTGTGAAGCTCCTTCTATGGCCTTTGACCGAGGCCTAGGCTGGGAGTGTCCTCCGTCTCCTCCTGCCCTTGCCCCCTGGCAGCAGGTGCCTCCCCATCCATCCCAGGACAGCCTTCACATTGCCTTCAGGATCCCGTGTGCCCAGTGCTGTCTTGGGATGGACTCTACGTGAGGGTCCTGCAGGAAGTGCTGTAGTCCCCTTCCAGGCCTTGCCCCAAGTGTACCTGTCCACCTGAACTCTCCCTCTGACTACAGCATTAGCAGTTGGGGAAGGAAGGGGAAGGATGGAAGGGAAGAGAGCCCAAAGCTGAGAGTGCTGGGCTGGCTTGGGGAGCTATGGAAGGATGACTCTGCAAGACTGAGCAGCAGGAACATACCCACCCACACGCACACACATGCACACCTGCACACATACACACCCCAGCAAAACACGTCTCCACTCCTCCCATTGGGCCACCTCTTGGGCTGAGGATTGGCACACAAGGTGCCCAGGGGGCAAGAGCTAAGGAAGTGCTTACTGCCTGAGCCAACCCTGCACCTCAGGCCCCGGGGGCGCTTGTCCTTCATCTTCATTCTGAAGCCCTGAGAACTGAACAGTGGGCAAAGGCAGAGGCTGATTCTCCTGCATTCCCTCTTTTCCTTTCTCCGTGGAGCCCAAGTGCCACGTGTCTCCTAGAATACCCTGAAGATGGGTCCCTGGGCCTGGGGCAGCTGATTCCCATGGGTCTCTTCCCCACCTCTTCCCATGGGTCCCACGGGCCTCCTGGCCCCCAATTGTTGCAAGGGTCAAGGGTCAGGGCTGTTACAACAAATGTCCTTGCACCACACCCACCCCCCCTCATTCCAAGTGAGAAACAGAATAGGGGGCTGATGCTGTGATGTAATGGGTAAAACTGCTGCCTGTGGCTCATGTGTTCCATGTGGATGCCAGTTCAAGTCCTGGCTGCTGAACTTTCAATCCAACTCTCTGATCATGTGCCTGGGAAGACAGCGGAGGGTGGCCCAAATCCTTGGGAGTTTGCTGGGAATCCCTGCAAAGTGCTCTTTGGGTTGAAGCCAGATGGGTGCAGGTGAACTTTTCCCCTCTGTGGGTTCTGGGCATAGCACACAGGAGTGATGGGGAAACTTGTATTCAAAGGATCAGGAAGAAGGGACTGGTGGTCTCCATTCTCTGATACCTCATAACCAGCAGGGTAAGGGGGCCAGGGAGGGGGACAGTGTGGACTTACTCCCAGGAGAGTGGTTCTGGACACTCCCTCCTCCTTCAGGTGTGCCAGGTTGGCAATGACCTCACTGTGGGGATGGATGGTTATTCTGTCTTGTGAGGCTGCCTGACCTGGAGCTGTCTGTAGCTGCCAGTGGCCGGTGGCTTGCAGGAAGTGGATTTGGGCTGCAGGGAGAAGGGAAGCTGCTAGCCGCTCAAACTCCCCTAAGCAAGGCACCCCTGAAGTTGAGAACTCATGGCTGGGCCCCATGGTAGTCTCCAGAGTGGACTCTTCCTTAGAGGACAAGTGTGGAAGGCAGTGGACACTCCCCTGGAATGTTGTTCCAATCCTGCCTCTCTCCCATGGCAGACCCAAGGTCCATTGCTTCGTGTCTGCCTAACTGTTCTGAGGTCAGGTGTCTTTGCCTGTGTTTATCTGAGTGTTGTCTCTCATCTGCGCTTCCTCTTTCTTTTACCACCCCTGACAACTGGCCCCCAATGAGTTATCATCCTTATTTTTTCTGATTTGTTGTGGGCACCAGTCTTATGAAGATTAATATATGTTGCAAGTGTCTTGTCCCACTTTGTATCATGTAGGAATTTTCAAAGTGTTTTCCCTCCTGTTTCTAGTTTGTTTCTGTGAGCTTAGAGAAAATTCTGGGTTTCTAAAGACATCTGGTCATCAGAGTTAGGCTCCACATGCCTAACCACCTTGCCCATGGGACAAATACAACTACTGAAGGAATTTTGGGAGTCTGTCTTGTTTTAAAAAGCAAGTGGAAGTGGGATGAGATTATGAATGGATACATGATTTATGCTAAGAGATCACTCAATGCTGTGTTCCCTCCACGGGCAGCTTTGGTGGGTAAAGCAGAATTCTTATGACTATAAGATTATTTTACGTACAAGATAACTCCAAGAACCTTTGATAACATTTGCATTTTGTTACAAAAGTTTACATGTATGCCTCTCTTGAAAAACTTGAAGTGCCGTAAAAACATGAACAAATGCTAGATGTTATTAATATGTTGCAAATTTCTAAAACCTTTGAAGTAGGGTTGGGTCATGTTGAGAATTCATTAATATCAGTGGAACATGAGAATAAATTAATGATGCATTATCCAATGTGTTTTCTCCAAAGGAGCTGGTGGATTTCATCCAAGCAAATTTTAAGAAACGGGAATGTGTCTTCTTTACCAAAGACTCAAAGGCCACGTAAGTGACTCTTTGTCTCCATTCCTTTGCTCAACAATAGATTATGAGCCACCGTTAGAACAAACACACATGAATGCCTTATTAGTGTTGCTTTTGCAATTCTTAGAAATGAAGTGTGAGCAGGAAGTTCTCATGCAGGTGTCCCTCAGCTTCTGCAGGGGCTGGTTCTGGGACCCCCCTCCCACCCCAAGAATAGCAACATCCATGGGTGCACCAGTGTCCGGGTATTTGCATAGAATCTGCACGCATCCTTCTGTGTCTTCTGAATCCTCTCCAGATTAGGTATGGCGAATAATACCTAATGCAGTGCAAATGCTGTCAAAAGAGTTGCTATATGTTCAATGACAGACACATTCCCCCCCTCCAATGTTTTCAATGTTTAGTTGGTTGGCTATGAATGGATAATTGGTAGAGAGGACAGCCTGTGTCTTGTGTTTCCTGGAGTTGACTTCTCTTGTTGAATATCTGGCTTTGGCAAGAGTTGACCAAATCACCAAGAGAGGTTATCACTCTCCCGAGTCTGGGAGCACACCGCATGATGTGTTGGCATCAAATGCTGTTTCATAGCAGTTGCCAGTCAACACCCAGCATGCTCAGGTGTCTGTGTAACTGGCTCATCTCTCAGGCTTTTCTTGGATTCTTATTATTTTTTTCTTTTTTTCCTCTGTGGCCTTTCCTTCTAATTAGACATTCACTAGATACAATGCTCACAGGTTTGAAGTTACAGAAGCAACCCTGCTAGCTTGGCACATGGTCGACCCTCAGTCTGGTTAGTGATCAAGAATGAATGAGAGGATGGATGAACACTGCCAACTGAATCATAGGCCTGAATAGGAGGATGCTGGAGGAAACTGATCTGCTGTGATTGACAGTTTCTTCTTGGCCAGAAGAGTGTGACTTCAGGGAGCTGTCTCAACACGAAGGCAAGAAGCTTAGTTGCGGAAGGCTGACCTGGGCTCTGTTCTCTGGCTGTGTCTTTATAGCTGTAGAAAGTTGCAAGTGCTTTGGCAAAAGTTCTGAGTAAGGACAATTTTTGTACTTAGTTGTAATTCAGACCATTAGATAGCAGAAACTCAAGCAGCTTAATCGAAAAAGGAGGATTTGCTATTGGGAAACAGCAATGTCCCCCGAGGAGTGACTGGGCCTCTGGAGTGGGTAGGGACTGCAATTGGGCATGTGGGGGCTCAGTTGCTCCTTCGTGCCCACTTCTCCTCTGCTGTCGTCCTGCACATCTGCTTCTTCTGCCTCGAGATGCCACACCTTGTGTTGTCTGGGTTTCCCAAGTCCCAAACCTAGACATGGAGAAAGATGGGAGCAGCTCTTTTGCCAAGCAAGGGGCACCTGTGTCAGTAACAGGTTAACGTCCTGTTCTTGGGCCTAGCTGCTGTGGCCAATGCCATAGGGTCTGACCACAGAGCAAGCACATCTTGATCTGACTGACAAAATTCTTATCAGGTGCATGCAAATGCAGGTGTCATCGAGGTGTCATCACAGCTTACTCCTTAGGAGGAGTTCTTTGTGAATCTCTCTGTCGAGGGATGTGGGTGGTTTACTCAGGCTTCTGATACTTCCAGTGAGGTTCTGATAACACAGAGCTGATTGCTTGTGGACAGTAGAAACTTGACTACTTTTGTCTGTCTGCTCCTGGAATGGTCATAAAACTTAACTACAAAGCAACTGCTCTCAGATTTTTAGAAAGCCACAACATCCACTATCACTCTTACCATCTTGTAGGTGAAAATGTGGTCTGCTGCCAGGGTGCTTTTAGAGTCCATTCTGCATCTTGGACTTGCCAGTGAGGGAGGAACAGCTTTGCCATGGGCACTGTGACAGCTGTGTAACTGTAAACTTGTTTTCTGGAAAGAAAAACAAATGATTCCATCATTGGGGATGGATGAGGATACAAACTACTTAAGAGAAGACCAATCAATATATTCATTCACATCTGAGAACTCTTTCAAAGAATGTGTGCTGTGGGCTCTTATTAGCCAGAAATCCTGGGACAGAGGTTATGAGATGGAGTCCAGCTGGACGTGTCCAGTCCTAAGGACACTGGTGAATTGAGATTGACTTCTGTATCCTGGCATGGGCTCATGTTCATGGGGGCGTGGTGCCTTTCCTGGCAGGTTAAAGGTTAATGCAGGAACAGGAATAGCGAAAAGAGCTACTGATTTTGCTAGACCTGGTCAGAAGACATAAATGGAAACTGTGTGGGGCAAATCAGGCCAGTTACCCACGGGGAGGTCCCCTTTGGCCTGTCTCCGTGGTCAGGCATCACTAGTCCCAATTTCCCTTTCACACCACTGCAGAAGGCTTCAATTCCCAGCACCCTCCTTGTCAAAAGTAGGAGGGAAGAGACTAGGGAGGGAGAGACACAGAGCCAAGCAGGCAGGGCAGGCGAGAATAAAGCAGCAGCAAGGAGGGCTGGTTTTAGAGGTTTTGTTATTGCTATCTTGTTGCATGCAACCTGCGTATCTCCCCAAGAAGTGCAGCCCAGCCACCTCTGCACAGCAGCAAAGTGTATTGAAGAGGCATGTGACCAGACAAACCGGCTGGAGTCAGCTCTCCTTTCCTTCAGAGAGTTACCCTAGGATGAGGGTTACAAGGGTTGTTATAGAATGGGTGAGTTGGGTAGCCATGGGAACCAGGTGAGTTGGGGGCAGCCACAGGAACAATGTGTGAGTTGGGCAGCCACGGGAGATAGCTACGGAAACAATGGGTGTAGCGAGACATACAATATTAGTTTCTGAAACTGAGGGTTGCTGGCAGGGCATGTTGTACCTTGTGCTCTGGCCTAAAAACTAGGAAGCTAGTAAAGCGTTTTGTACAGAAACATGAAGAGCAGGTTAGCAAACCTATGCCTGAACCAAAGTGACTCCATTTTGTGACTGGATGCCACAATATCTCTCCCTCTTTTATTTATTTGAAAGGCAGAGTTATGTGGAGAGAGAGAAAGAGGAGAGATAAAGAGGGAGAGAGGAGAAAGACACACAGAGAGATGTTTTCCATCTGCTGCTTCACTCTCCAAAAGGTGGCAATGGCAGGGACTGTGCCAGGCTAATGCCAGGAGCCCAGAGTTTCTTCTGGGTCTCCCATGTGGGTGCAGGGGCCCAAACATTCAACCCATCTTCACTGCTTTCCCAGGTGCCTTAATAAGAAGCTGCATTAGATGTAGAGCAGCTGGGTCTTGAACCAGAACCCAAATGGCATACGAGTGTTGCATGAGGCATCACTATAACTTGAAGGTCACCTTGACAATGTAGGTACCATGCTCCAGGCTAGCTGGAGGTTTTGCAACATTTCCAGTCCTCAGGCAATCCTGGGATGAGCGAGCTTGTGCCAAGGCTAGAAGTGCGTTTTCGTTCTCTTGACACACTCTGCCTGGCTGGTCCTTGGCTATTCCCAAGAGCTCAGAGCAACTGGAGAGTGTGGGAATCTTGTCCCGTGTGTCCTGGTGTGCCGAGAAGCTCAGCCTAGAATGGGACCAGAGCTTTTCACCCTGGGTTGTTGAGTGACAACAACAATGGTTGTCATTGCATCCACTTCCAGTTTCCTGCTAGGTGCGTGTTGTCACCCAGTGGAGAAGATGTGGTTCTGGTGCACCCATGCCGGGGGGATCTGGTGTTCATGGCTGCACAGTTTGTCTTTATCTGGCCCAGATGATCCAAAGCCTCTTAAGAAACTGATGTCCAGTGTGGAAATGACAAGCTTACCTCTGTGGGGTCTGAGAATCCCCGGGCTGACCTTATGTCAGCAGCCCGAGCAGGGCTGGTGGCCCCCAGGCATTGGGGTCTGCTCCAAAGTGTCTATGAGCCGCGAGCTATGTAAGGGTTAAAAAGAGTGCTGAATCCCAGGCTCAGGCAACAGACTCCACAGAGACAGGCTCTTGTCTCCTAGCTGAGCTTGGTTAACGCAGCTTTATGACAGGGAAAGGAGGCCCATGTCCACACCAACACCCGAGATAATTCCAGTGTCTGAAGATGCGGCTGTGTGGTACAGTCTCCTCTGACGTGTGTGTGTGCGAAGTGTGCATGATTTACTCTCGGGGTCACCAGAGCTGTGTAAGCACATTGGGTGTGTTCCGTCTATCACATCGCTCTGCTCAGGGACAGCGTGTGCAAGTGTGGCTATGCCCAGAGCCAGCACATCGAGGGCACCCAGATCAACCACAACGAGAAGTGGAATTACAAGAAGCACACCAAGGAGTTTCCCACCGACGCCTTTGGGGACATCCAGTTTGAGACCCTGGGGAAGAAAGGAAAGGTGAGCCCCTGGGTCCTTGCTTCAGCTACTTGCTCTGCTGATTCCGGGGACTGGCTGCATTACCCACATGCTGTGCTACGGTGGAGGCATACAGAGACACAAGCCATTCCCAGAACAGGTGCAGGGAAAAGTTGTGGGCAGACTGGGCTCACTGGGAAAAGCTGACAGGTAAGAGGTGGCTTGTGCATGGGCACTACAGGTATCTAACACCTGTGCTGAGCTGGTTTACCGAAGGCGGTGGCTGCTGTTTGGAACCGTCCATTTCGGTGTGAAGAATGGGATGCCGGAGAAGTCACATCATCCTGCCCTGCCCATGGGAGTAGCTCCTCCTCTGGATCTTACAGACGTTTCTCCCCCATTGCAGTAGTGGCAGTCCCTCAACCCCCCCCCCCCCCCAGCCCTGCTGGCTGCAGCCCGAGGGGGAAGGGGAGGGCACATCCAATCCTAACCCTCTTACCCCGCAGTATATCCGCTTGTCCTGCGACACGGACGCCGAGACCCTGTATGAGCTCCTGACTCAGCATTGGCACCTGAAAACTCCCAACTTGGTTATTTCCGTCACTGGCGGCGCCAAGAACTTCGCCCTGAAGCCGCGCATGCGCAAGATCTTCAGTCGTCTGATCTACATCGCTCAGTCAAAAGGTGCCTGGAGGGCTGGAATGGGGAGATGGGGCCAAGGGCGCAGGTGCTTCCGCCCGTCACGTGCAATCCACCTGCGGAATTTAGGTGCAGGTGGCACGAGATGATTAATCACTGTTTCATTAAAGGCAGCGTTAAGTGTTTGAGATGAAAGCGAGCCATGGCGTTATTAGTCTGCATACCATTTTTCATCCCTCCCCCAGCTTTCGTCCTTTTTCTCCTCTGCCCTCTCCCTTCTCTCTCCTTTTCTTTCTTTATTTGAATGGTTGAAAGACACACACACAGAGAGAAAGAGAGACAGACAGACATCCCATCTGCTAATTCACTCTTGCAACAGCTGGCACTGTCAAAGCTAGGAGCCCGGATCTCAGTTCCAGTCGCCCCTGTGAGTGGCCGGACTCAAGGACTTGAGCCATCACCCGAGGCCACCCGGAATGTGCGTTAGCAGTGCCAGCACTTGAACTCAGGCTCTTGAGTACCCAACTCCAGTGAAGCCAACCGGTGCCTTAACTGCTCCGCCAGAGGCCTGCTTCCTTGTTCCTCTTTTGGGGAAGGGGCTGGGAGGGCCAAAGAGGCGGTAGTGCTGTTCTGAAACATGTCAAACCTACAGAAGTTTCCTGATGAATGCAATCAGTGGGTACATGCTTCACACACATTTACCAGTTATTAACATTTTCCCACATTCATCTCTTGTTCTGGGAATGCCCACATCTTAGGGCAACCATTGGGGCATAAGCTGTAGGCCTAAGTTGGCGAGGATGCATCCCCTAAGAGCTGGGACGTTTTCTCCCACACCTGATCCAGTTTCTAACCCAGGAGAGTTAGGTTGGCCAAGATTGGTGTCTAGCCAACAGTCCACACTCAAATGTCGCTCATTATCCCAGCGTCCCGTAGGAGGAAACGTCTTCCTGCTCCAGTTGGAGCCCAAATCCAGTTAGATGTTTATTTTCTGAGTTTTCTTCCATATGGAACTGATTTCTAGGCTTTTTTTTTTTGCCCTTCATGTTGTTTTGAACACCTTAATGTGGTTGTCACCGCTGTTTTCACATGATGAACTTCAGTAAGTCGAAACTTAACTATTGAGAATTCTTTTTTTTCTAAAGATTAATTTATTTTCCTTGCAAAGTCAGATATACAAAGAGGAGAGACAGAGAGGAAGATCTTCTGTCTGATGATCACTCCCCAAGTGGCTGCAATGGTAGGAAATGAACTGATCCGAAGCCAGGAGCCAGGAGCCTCCTTTGGGTCTCCCACGGGGTTGCAGGGTCCCAGGGCTTGGGCCATCTTTGACTGCTTTCCCAGGCCACAAGCAGGGAGCTGGATGGGAAACGGGGCCGCCGGGATTAGAAGTGGTGTCCATATAGGATTCTGGCATGTGCAAGGCGAGGACTTTTTTTACTGGGCTAACGTACTGGGCCCTGGAAATTCTTTTATAAAGAATATCAGTTGACTGACAGAGCTAAAGAAGCCATGTTTTGTCTTAGAGATTGTATACTCACTAGGATTTTTTTCCTAGATACATATATCTGTGAAGTTTAATTTGTAAATTAGGCACAACAGGAAAATATTAACTATAAAATAGAACAATTATAACAATTTACTTTAAAGAAAGCTATTTAAAATGTGTGAGTTAGGGCCGGTGTTGTGCAAGAAATCCCTGCTTGCATTCCAGGCTCCAGTATTCTGCTTCCTGTGAGATCGACGTTAATGTCTGCGAGGCAGCAGAAGATGTCCCAAGGGCTTGGGCTCCAGACCGTGTGGGAGACCAGGAGGGAGGTCCTGCTTCCTGGGTCTTTGGCCCATGGTTTTGGAGTGTCTATGGAGTGAACTAGCAGATGGACCTGTGGTGGGTGGGTCTGGGAGCAGAGTGAGCTGATTTTTTGGGGTGGTCCCACCCATTGCACTTGGCAGCTCAGGTTGCCCTGGAGAGGTGTTTTTTTTTAAGCTGCTGATTGCCGGCCACAGCATCTGATGCTGGGGGTCTTCAGTGGGTCCAGGATTTGTGTGTTCTAAGAAACACCTGTCAGGGTTCCTGCTTCCTCAGGTCGAGCCCCTCCCGTGGCTTGGATGCTCATGCCCTGTGAGGTGCTATGGAGCGTGGTCTTCCCGCGAGGCCTGAGAGCTCAGCATTTGCTCCTCTCCCTGGCTGGCAGGTGCTTGGATTCTCACTGGAGGCACCCACTACGGCCTGATGAAGTACATTGGTGAGGTGGTGAGAGACAACACAATCAGCCGGAACTCGGAGGAAAACATTGTGGCCATTGGCATAGCGGCGTGGGGCATGGTCTCCAACCGGGATACCCTCATCAGGAATTGCAATGCTGAGGTAGGCATGGCACTGGGGGATAACAAAGTCATTTCATGGCAAATGTCAGCTTGAGGGGACTGGAGAAGCACCGGCTGGGTGGAAAAGAAGACTGGTACCCAGTATTTGTGTCTGTCATGGGCACCAGGATCACCTTGGTGTTTAAGCATCACCTCTGTGGTGGCATCTGTGAATCACAAAAAGCAAGAATACTTGAAAGCAAGTATTCTAAAACATTATTTAAAAAGCAGAGAGAAAAAGAGAGGGAAGGAAAAGAGAAAGAGAGAGAGCCATCATCCCACCATTGCTTCATTCTCCCAACATCTGGGGATGGGCCAGGCTGGACTCAAGAGCCAGGAACTCCATCCAGGTCTCTCATATAAATGGCAGGGATGGTGGGGATTCGCCACTTGAGCCGTCACCTGCTCCTTCTCAGAGTGCACATTAGCAAGAAGTTGGATCAGGGAACAGATCGGGACTCAAACCCAAGTATTTCAGTGTGGGATGAGGTTTCCCAACTCTGCACCGAATCCCTGCCTTGCAGTCTGAATACTCAGGCAAGGATGTTTGTGAAAATGTTTCCAAGAATTGTTCTAAACATTAATAGCTGGTAATATTCATGGTAGGGAAATCTTCAGGTGGATTTTTATACAAATATGAGAGCAAGTTATGGAGCTGTTAAATACTATTTCAGAAAGTTTGGATAGTATGGAAATTATTTGTTATTTACTCTTCTCTATCATCTTTCTACTGACATCTGTGCTTCCCTAGAAAACACCTTCAGGTTCCGAAACCTCGAGGGTAACTGCTGCTCTGAATCAAGTAGTTTTCATTTCCTGCTTATTTTATGAAATAAGCATGTGTTGTTTTTGGAGAAAAGACCACAGTGTTATGCTTTTGTTCCTTTTGTGTTCTTGTTGGATCATCTGCTGATGATCTTTTGGTTGGTGTCTTGCTTCTTTACTATTTTCCCAGCGCAATAGTGTTTTTGTTTTTGTTGGTTTTTTGCATAAACTGAAACCAATGGTTGCTAATGACCATCTTGATTGTTTTCCCATGCGTTTTGTTGTTTGTTTGTTTTTGGTCCACACTTCCTTACAGAATCCCCGACTGGTCGATACAGCTGACTCAGCATCAGACTCCACTGACCTGCCACAATGTCGCACACCACAAACGCTAGGATGGGATACTGGATTTAGGATCTCTTTCTGAGTGCTTTTCTCATCTACCATGAGCTGTTTTTCTTCTTGAGTTGTTGTTACACTTTGAAAATTATGATAGCATGTCCTGTGCCCTTTAAAAAAAAGCACAGGATGACACTCATAATTCTTATTTTTCAAATTTCTTTTGGGCTATTGAAAGCCACATTTTTAACATTTAAATGTTAGAATATTTGCCAAGACTCAGTCTCCAGATAAAGTAAGCAACAACTCAACCACACACTCAGTGAATGGGATCATGATAAGCCTAGAAATGATGCTGGAAACATTGAAATTGTTCTAATACCAAGCATTTGTCCACTAATGTGATGTGTCAATATGGTCAAGCCTTTGTCTCTCAGGAAAGTTTCACAGCTTTCATGAGCAAGTCCTATGTTATGTATTTCTTCTTAAGGTTATTCCAGATTTTTCTTTATTTTTATTGTTGCTGTAAGGAGGTCTTTAGTCAACATAACTTGATTTTTATTGTTTTGAATCAGTTGCCCTAGTAGACTCTTTTATTAATTCTAACAGCATTTCCATAGAGCCATTGAGCATTCTAGGTTTGTATCCAAGTTGTTGAGAAACCCTCCATGGAACTGTGCCTTGTCTTGACTGTGATGTACAGCCAGTGTACCATGAAGTAATAGTGGACATTGCAGATCCTGGGACAGGTTCTCAGGTATCTGACATCATAATCACTGAGCTGGTCCCAACTGCCCACCAGTAAATGGGATTTGGCTAAAGGTTCGATATACATACATTTAACAATTACATCTCAAGGCATCATCCTTTTACTATAGTTTTCAATGTGTTATTTTATTAATTCTAAAAATTGAGGTAGTTCAGCATCGTTTTGCTTCCATGGGGTTATCTGTCTGCTTTAACCTAGTGGTCTGGATAACCTAATGGACTGAATATTGGAAACAATACTAGTTATTCCCTCATAACATTGCTACATTTAATAAGCCAATGACTTAGGAGCATTATTTATTTATTATTTATTTAAATTCTTATCCATTGGGGGTTTGGTGGTTGACTTTTTCTGTTGTGGTTCTGGAAGAGTGAAATGTGAATTATGTATCGGTTCAATGAAACGTCGGCAGGGATTCTGGTTTCCAACAACTGGATGTGTCTTTCTTGCAGAAATGACCTCCTCTGTCATGTCCAGATGGTCACGATCTGCTCAGAGAACAGAATTTTAACATTTGCTTCTTACTATTTATCTTGCTTTTGTTCTGGTTTGATATTCGGCATCAGCAGCCTTCTTCCTTCCATTGAGTTTTCTGCTTACATTCTGTTCCCTGACTCCTTTCAGTGTAACTCCAACACTGGATTTAAACACCTTTGAGTGGAGCTAAAGAGTTAGAAGCTGTCTTGGTCAGCATTCCTTTCTATAACACTCCTATTACAGGCTTTTATTCTGTAGTAACATGAGGACATTATTTTATTCCTTCATTGTGTGGTCCTGTTACCCTGTGCTTAAGAGAGTGTACACACTCAAACGATTTCCTAAATGCTGTTCATTTCAATGAATTTCTGCAAAAGAGCGCAGGGTGATGGGTGGAGAGCTGGTGGGGAATTGATCCTTGCATGTTCACTAGCCATGGCTGTGATAATGGGTGTGTGACTCATTTCCTGCCCTCTAAGATTCCAGAAGAACTCTTTTGGACACTGCTGTTGTTGAATCCAGATGTTGAGTTTTCCTATAAACATTCATTGTGCCATTGTGTGTGGCCCAACAAGGCAGCTCTCAAAGCCAAGTGTCCCTGTGCCTCTACAGGGATATTTTTCAGCCCAGTACATCATGGATGATTTCAAGAGGGATCCTCTGTACATCCTAGACAACAACCACACTCATCTGCTGCTGGTGGACAACGGCTGTCATGGTCATCCCACCGTGGAAGCCAAGCTCCGGAACCAGCTGGAGAAGTACATCTCTGAGCGCACCAGTCAAGGTTTGTGCCTGGGAGCTGGGACATGGGGCTGTTGCAGTTACACCAACAGGAGCAGCAGCAGGACGGATGACGCTTCCTTTTCTATACTAGGAGTGCTTCTGCCGTGGTCCCGGTTACTGTTCAATATGCCCAGGTGTGACGAATGCTTCATTCTTTTCTTGTTTGTTATTTTAGAAAGCCTGTTGTCTCCTCTGCTAGACAAATAAAACTCACAGGGGCAGATAGAAGCTTAGAAAGTCAGAAGTGGGTGCCATGGTGCTGTAGGCTAAGCTTCCACCTGTGGCACCAGGTCCCTATAAGGGCACCAGTTCAAGTTCCAGCTGCTGCACTTCTGACACCCTGGGAAAGCAGTAGAGGATGGCTCAAGTCCCAAGGCTCTTGCACCCATGTGGAAGACTCAGAGGAAGCTCCTGGTTCCTGCCTTTGAACTGGCCTGGCTCTGGAATTGAGGCCTTTTATGGAGTGAACCAGCTAATGGAGGATCTCTCTCTCTCTCACTCTGCCTTTCAATAAGAAACAAAACAAACACCACTTGGTTATCTAGGGTAGAAATTATTTTTTAAAATCCCAAACACTAACCACTCAACTAGTTTAACAATCAGATATTTGTTGTTTTGAGTCTTGTCCACTTGTGTGTTTCAGAATCACCTAAAACATTTGTTTTAAGGAAAGAGTCTATTTTCTGTGGTTGGTGTTTCTTCTCTTCCCAAGGACCCCAGGTTGAAATATATTGAAATATAGAAGCCGATTAGCTTGTAGTTTAGTAGTAGACCTTGGGAAGGGGACTTTTACTTGTTGATATTCTCCAACATCTTCCTTCCAAAGTGGAATAATACACATGACAGAAAATATTTAAAATTTTTAAATGAAGATTTATTTTTACTTGAAAGAAAGAGTTACAGAGTGGGAGAGAGAGCTTTTCTGTTGCCTCACTCCCCAAATGGCCACAATGGGCTTCGCTGGTCTAAAGCCAGAAGCCTGAAGCTTCTTCAAGGTCTCTGTGTGGGTACGGGGATCCAAGCACTTGGGCAATCTTCTGCTACCTTCCCAGGCACAATAACAGGAAGCTGGATCAGAAGCAGAGCATCTGGGATTCCCACTGGCACCCATGTGGGATGCTGGTCTTACAGGTGGAAGCTGCCATGGTACGGTGCCACCACATCAGCCATGAAGGAAAACATTTAAATATGTAATGAATTAGTTCAGAGAACACATAGTTGCACACATTTGTTACTCAAAGAAACACAAGACAATGCAAATTAATGAGAGAATCATTTTTATGGGTTAAACTTGGCCTTCATCTAATTTTAATCAGAAAGTGAAACACACCAAGGCGTGACTGTTAAATATTAGTGACAAATCCCAGCATGACTTGCGTCATGTTATATTATTGCTTTTGGGACACAAAGACTCATCTGCTGTGGTCAATGAGTAGGCAAGGTCCATCCCTTGAGACGAGCAGCTCCCTGCCACACGCTGAGCTCACAGGGCAGAAGCTTTTCTGTTGAGCCACAGATGAATATTAATTGGCTTGTCTTACAGATTCCAACTATGGCGGCAAGATCCCCATTGTTTGCTTTGCTCAAGGAGGTGGACGGGAGACTCTGAAAGTAAGTTCTGGTTTTGTTTGCTAGAAGTTAGATGAAGGAGTTTGCCCAACTGACTTGTGTTTCTAAGGCTTTGGGGCTCATTCATTCTAGCCTGGCTAATTATTTTGTTATAGCAAGCAGGCAGAGATTTCCCTTCACCTGGCTGGTCCCTAAACAGATTTAGGTTGTTCCACAGAAGAGAAGATTTGGGAGAGAATTTGAAGTGAAATGAATAGACTGGGGACTCAGGGTTAACTCCAATGTCATTGTGAAAAAGAGAAGAGCTAGCATGAATCCACGAGACAGAAGGGTGGTAACTGGCATGTATATTGGAAAACTAGGATGACTCTGACCACATGGAAAAGAACCATGATCATATACACTCAACTCTCCCAAATGAGGCCTTCGCAGACCACATCCAGGTGCCTCCTAGTGATGCCAGGATGCCACGTGAAAGAAGCATCTGCTCAGCCAAGTCACGGTCCATGAAACAGGGGAATTAGGAGATTAGGAAAGGAGGGGAGAAGAATGGACAAGTGTAGCTCTTCCTCCTCAGCCTTCACTCCCACACCCTGAGGTGGTGAGGCCTGTGGTGGGCTCCCGCCTGCTCTGCCAGCTCCCATGGGAGCCCCCATACAGCTGGAGTCCTGGAGGACAGTGCTTTTCAGTTTGTTCCTTGCCCACATGTGGGTGGATCACTTGATTTTATAATCTGGTTCTTTTTTTTTTTTAAGATTTACTTATTTTTATTGCAAAGTCAGATAAACAGAGAGGAGGAGAGACAGAGAGAAAGATCTTCTATCTGATAATTCACTTTCCAAGTGGCCACAATTGCTGGAGCTGAGCTGATCCAAATCCAGGAGCCCGGAGCCTCTTCTAGGTTTCCCACACACGTGCAGGGTCCCAAAGCTTTGGGCTGTCCTTGACTGCTTTCCCAGTCACAAGCACGGAGCTGGATGGAAAGCGGGGCCACTGGGATTAGAAGTGGTGCCCGTATGGGATCCTGGTGCATGTAAGGTGAGGTCATTAACCACTACACAGGCCCTGTACTCTGGTTCTTAAAACCTGACTTCTCCCAGCCCCCGTGCCATCCTCTGCAGTTAAAGGCAATACATGTGTGATAGGAAGCGGATATATACCTGTTGTCTTTTAATAATAGAAGCAGGAAATTGAGGAAGGAGTTACGTGACTAAACACAGAATGCTGTTGCTTTCAAGGTGTTCTCCGCCCTTCCATGATGTGGTGTGGGTAATCAGTGAGTTAAGTCTAGGGAAGCTGGGATTCTGTGGTCCTGTCTGTTCAACTGTCGGCTTGATGCATCCATCTTCCCAGGATATTTTTGTTTCATCTGGCACCAAAGCATATGCTAAGATGCCTACCCGTTGGTTTATTTGATGAAGGTACCACCTCCTGCTTCATAAAAGAGGCTGAGAACAAGGAAGCAGGGGAGAGTCCTTTTTTACTTTTTCTGTTGGCCATGCTTGGAGGTTCTGCTCTCTTTCAGGGGCAGCCCTGGCCCACACATGATGGATGCTTCTCCATTTGGGACAGTCTGTGCTGATGCTTGAATGTATGTTTCTCCTATGGCTGTCTCAGCTGTGCAGTGTGCTGTGCACAGATGGGACCTCTGCTTCTTCACCCCACCCCTGCGTGCGCGCGCGCGTGTGTGTGTGTGTGTGTGTGTGTGTGTGTGTGTGTGTGGCAGGGGGAAGGACCTGGAGCAGCAATCGAGACATTAGGTCCACCTCATTAAGTGTTAGCAACCTTAATGTCAGGTACGCTGTCCACCATGGTGTGATCTTCATGGTTTATGGTGGATTTGGGATCCTCTGTTTTCGTATACAAGGCTGTTTTAAACTCCTCGATGGTGGAGACTCAGATGGTCCTCACGCCCTCTGTGGACGTTGCTATTGGCACAGGACACCAGCCAGCTGGCTGACTTCCCACACCTACAGTCACAGTAAATGTGTGGTTTGCTTTTGGTTTGAAATAAAAGCTTCCAAAAAAGTGAGGTGCAGGTTGTGTGTCATCAGTGTGCTGTGTTCTTTAGCTCATCCTTAGGCTGCATTCCTTCCATCACCGGTATCCCTTCTCTCCGACGCTATTCTTCCCCTCCCAGGCCATCAACACCTCCATCAAAAGCAAGATTCCCTGTGTGGTGGTGGAAGGCTCGGGGCAGATCGCCGATGTGATTGCCAGCCTGGTAGACCTGGAGGACACCCTGACCTCCTCCATGGTCAAGGAGAAGCTCGTGCGCTTCCTGCCTCGCACGGTGTCCCGGCTGCCCGAGGACGAGACTGAGAGCTGGATCCGATGGGTGCGTTGTGGCCGAGACATTGGAGGGTCATGGTCCTGGGGAGGGCAGCACCATTTTCAGTTGTCTCTGTTAGCAGCTGCTGGTAGTTAATCCTTTCTTTGCCATCTTAGCCTCGGCTGGGGCCCACGCAGGGGTCTTGTAGGAATCAGGATGGGGGAAGTTCCGTGACTTGCAGAGTGTCCCTTCCTCATAAGGGTTGGAGCACAGGGTTTAAACTCAAAGTGTGTATACCACTTGCAAACAAGTGTGCATCTGCGTTTTCTAAATGTTGGTGGTGGCAGGACAGGAGCCCCTGGCGATGGTATTTTCAGAATGCAGCTCTAACTAGAGTCTATACCTGTTAGAGAAACGAACATTAAGGAGTAACTGCCACATTGACTGGTCTGAGTTCTCTCGTGTTCCTTGTTGGCTCATGTAAGCTTACCAGAATACTACATTTCTTATTGCCAAGAGTGTCAACATATTAGAGCTTCCTCACTTGTCTGTTTCCCGACTGCTGATGATTTCTAAGTCTTGCATTTTCCCACCTGCCCAGTCCGTTAGGATGCTCACATTCCTACTGGTCCTCACTCACATGCGCTCATTCACGAATCTCCTTCAATATTTGGATATTTTAGGAGCATGTGCTGCTGCTTGCTGGTTTTTCTGAAGGATGGCCCAGTCTGCAGGCCAGAAAGCCTGTTGTATAAATAATTTGTGAATGTTAAGAGCATTTGGCTGTGGCGGGTCTTCCAAGTGTCAGATGTTGCCAACTGGGACCCAGTCCACACAGTTTCTTCTTTCTCTTTGTGGCCTTTGCTGTTACATAAGGGAAACCAGTGCCAACAGAATCCTTGTAAATGATGAGAAAGTCAACCCAGCCTTCTTGGCAAATCACATGAAGCAGGGGGCCTCACTTAATGTCACACAAGAGGGCAGCTAGCCAGCGATCTTGATGGAGCAGTGTGATCCTAAGACACGTTTTTTTTTTGAGTAAGCCTCACATCTAAAATTTGGAAGTTAGAAATCCAGACAAAACTTTATCCCATATCATTGGTGTTCAATGATGCTCTAATGATTGCTTATCTGCTAGTTCTACTTGATATACTACTGTTTTCCAGGTTTTACCAAACCAGAAAAGTCTGATAGTTTTGCATGGGAATTCTTAGTGGAGTTTTCTTGTATCTTATTCAAGTCCAGTTGAGGGATATATGTAAGAGTCAAATGGAGATACAGAAAAAGACAGAGCTGAAAGATATGACTTAGGGTGAGGCATTGCTGGGCCTCTTTATGTCTCAGAATGAGGCAGATGAGCCCACTCGATGGAGGCATGTCTTCAGGCCAGGCTGCCAACCAGAACGCTGTAGCCCTGCAAAGAATAGATCCCAATGAGAGAGGGCAGGAGAGGGCTGGCCAAGTAGGCCTGGAGTTTCCCCTCCTCTCGGACCAGCAAGGAGTGAGGGTTGCTGTTTCTGATCATGTTCTTCTCAAGTGCAAGTAAAGAAAAAGTAGGGAAAAGGAGTGCTCCTCCAAAGTGGGCAGCATTCATGTCTAAGTCTCTCAGCATTCCTACCTGAGGAGCTTGAGTCAATTTTAAACCCACAAGCAGCAAGCACACATATCAGGGTAAGTCTTTGCATCCGGATCACCACTGCCGCCACCTGTCAGGAATGGAAGAAACACAGTGGTCAGCTCCAGGATGCTTAAAGAGGAAGGAGTTGGCAAGTCTTGATTTACCCACCAAACAATGGTGTCAGGTCCACACTGGTGCCCGTCCTCTTACTTCTGTCACAGGTGGCCTGTCAAGTCTAGGTCAGGTCATAACCAAAGAAAAAAGGCTGCCTCATGGGTCCCTGCACTATTTTTCAAAAATAATTTATTTGCTTGGAAAGCGGAGTTGAGAGAGAGAGAGAGAGAGAGAGAGAGAGAGAGAGAGAGAGAGAGAGACTCTTCCATCGGCTGGAGAAACTCTTTCATCTTACTTTCCAAATGACTACAAAGGCTAGTTCTGGATCAATCTGAAGACAGGAGCCTGACATTTTTGTTTATTTCCTTATTGTATCTTGGATGCTGAGTCTTCTGAATGAAGGTCCTGTCTGTATATTTTCCTGGAAACTGAGGCTTTAAAAGCTCACTTAATTTTAAAACCCAAGAGTCCTTATTAGTCTTCACTTTTTAAATCTTGAATAAGCAGTTTTCAATGCTTTCCACTCATGCCTTGCTGGGACTCTGCAGTTGCAAATGTTTCCAGGAAAGCCACTATCACCTGGAACTCAATCTCACTGAACAGAAACTTAAAACTTCCCTTGTAGAAGGAGTCCTTCCTCATCCAGCTCTTACCAGGTCTCTCCATGGAATTAGGGAACTTGTCCATTTTTTAAAAAGTTTTAACATGAACCATTTTGGAAACATCACAAAGGCGATTGGAGTCAATTATTTATCTCCAGTGAGTCTTCTTGGCTCTTGTTTCCATTGGAACTTTTCTTTCTGACTGTTGTGTCTCAAGCCTTTTGACCACACTTGGATGATTTCTATAATTTTTTGTGACCTCTTCTTCATTTATTGCTTGCTCAACAACTGAGCGTCCACCATGTGCCAGTGTCTCCCCTAAGCCCCCACACACTCCTCAGGAGAGAAGGCTTCCAGTTACTTGACAGGGCCTTTTTATTATGTGTGCTCCTGTATAACCTTAACCTCATGGAGGTCAAGAATGCATCACTCTCGTTTAGATACTAGAAGCTGAGGTGCAGTTACTATGAAGGAAGAAGAGATGGAACTCACCAAAAGGCAGTCTTTTTAAAAAATGAAGTAAAAATCTCTCTGCAGAAGAAATACATCAATGAACTGATCATTTTGTTCTCTTGATATTGGCAGCTCAAAGAAATTCTTGAAAGTTCTCACCTGTTAACAGTTATTAAAATGGAAGAAGCTGGAGATGAAATCGTGAGCAATGCCATTTCCTATGCTCTGTACAAAGGTGAGGCAAAGGACAGACACGCATACCTCACGTGTGGGTAAGGTTGCTTTCGGTTTCCATGGTTTGCACATCTTCTGAAGCTTATGAATGAAACCCAGGCTCATGTGTGACTTTTGCTGCGATAGAAATCTATCCAAGTGAATACAACCTGAAGTAAGTTCATCCTTGGCAAAGCCTCAGCATTTAGAATTTAACAGCCTGGTGACTGAAGTACACGAGGGAGGCCAGACACATAGCAAGTGTGATTGCACTGTTACCTGTTCATTAGAAACATTCTTATTGTGCTTGCCAGAAATTTGGTTATGGTGAGATTTATTAAAATGAAATTATCTCTCTTCAGATACATAGAGATAGCAAGCATATACATACATATGTGTGTGTGTGTGCTTGCTGGATACAGCCCTTCTTATAGGATGGCATGGAATCTGAATCAACTCCGATAACCCTTGACTTGTGGGGGATTCCCATGATGAATCTCCATCGTGAGTTGGAAGATGACCATCTACACTTCCTGAACATCCTGGCTTAGTTGTGGCTTCCTTTAAACGTGCTCAGAACACTTGCATTCACCCACAGGTGGCCAACATCACCTACTAGAAATCGTGCTTTATGATGAAGTGTTGGCTGTCTCTTGCGGTTGATGGAGCAGTAGACTGAGAAGAAGAGCAGCAGGTTGTGCGTTTGTGCACTTGTAATCTCAGTTGAACCATTGCCAAGCCACGGATTGTATACCACAGACAGTGTTAGGACGTAAGAAGGAAAATGTGGTTGGGGCCTCAGTTGATCCTTACAACATACTTCAGGACCTGTAGAAAGGGGAAGAGAAATTACACTAAAATGGCAAATCTGAGTATCTGATTCTAAGAAAGGTTGCTTGAACTGTCCCTACTGACTAGCCACACACAGGGGTTCTGATTCTTCTTTCTGGGTCCCTGGTTTATTGGCTCACTTCTTCCCTCTCACAGCCTTTAGCACCAACGAGCAAGATAAAGACAATTGGAATGGGCAGCTGAAGCTGCTGCTGGAGTGGAACCAGCTGGACCTGGCCAGCGATGAGATTTTCACCAATGACCGCCGCTGGGAGGTAAGCAAAAAGGTGGCCTGTGTTGGGGTCAGGGTGAGATTTGACACGGAACTCAACAGCAGTTGGTTTTTTCCTGCGGAGATCTTCCCTGTGGAATCCAGTAAAGGATCCGTACTTACTGGTATGTCAATGTTGCTGAGCCTCATGTTCCTTGTCAGTAAAACAGGAGAGTCACATGGATATGGTAAGCTTGCTGTGAGGCAACCATATGAATCAATGGTCTAATTAAGAACGTGTCTGTGGAGTGGGGCCATTCAAGCTTCCTAGTCCTTTGCCACGGTGATCATCCATCTTGGTGAGATGATACAAGAGTGGATTAACAAGTGAGGGAGGAAAGCGCAGGTGTGCAGTGTGATGCGTTTTCCTGACCAAAACTCAAGACAGCAGCACTCTTCTGGCTCTGTCCTCGAACTGCCTAGTTGGGTTCTAATAAGAGATTCGGCCATGGTGAGATTCAGAAGCCGATCACTGAACAGCCTGATCAAAGATGCCCAGTGTCTTGGGGCTGGGGACTTGGGACTATTGTTTATTAAAAATAACTCCAGCGCCCTGTGCATGGCACCTTTAGTACGGAAGTGGCACATGCAATAAAAACCATTACCTTCCAGTCTCCTGCCCCCTCCCTTTGCAGCTTGGTTTGCATCTTAGAGCCGTATCTTGTGTACGACTGAGGTCCAGTCCTCCGTAGAGGCTCTCTAGGGAGGAACAGCACTTGCAAGTCTGCTGGTACGTTTTCCACTTTCTGCACTGCTTTGAGTCATGAATGGCCCGGGAGAACAGAGTTCTAGAATGGAGGTCTAGGTTTAAGGTGTGGATATTTGACAGCTTTTACCCTTAGCAGGCTGATTCAGAAGATGCTGTGAAGCCGTAAAGTCTATTGTGTAACCAGAGACTAAGACTGGGTTTATATGAACATGTGATCAGGTTTAATGACAGCAGTGCAAATAAAGGAACAGTTTATGAATTTTTTAAAGCTATTCATTCCTTTAGCAAACATCATCTCCTGTTTGGTTTTTGCAGTATAAGGAACTTGATTGCATATCACCAGGCTTTAGTTAGTGGAGGGAAAGTAAGGTGAGTAGCTCTGGTTAATTGGTTCACAAATGAATCCTTGTGTGTGAAGTGTTCTGTTTAAATTAGGTCAGATGGTACAGATAAATGGAAACTCTGGCACCCTGTGATTGGCACGTTTAACTTTATTAACTCAGTTAATGAGCCTTAGAGGTGAAAGGCATGACCAGCTACGAGGTTGCAGCCAGGTTGTCTGCATGAATTTGGAAAGGTGCTTAACCTCTTACTGCTTCAACTTCCTTTCCTAGTTCCATGGTGGAGCCAGCTCCTACCAATTTACTCTAATTTGCTGGAGCTAGCTGCTAAATTTTTAGAGATTCTGTGACTCAGTTGCTAACTATCATCGCTATTAAAAATTACACAAATATAGAACTAATTACCTTTTATGGAAAACAAAAGGTACTAAGGATCAAAACTTTTCATCATCTAATCCTTTTGCTGTTGTCTGTGCCTCAGCCTGCTTACATCAGTCGCAACTGCTTGCTGAGATGCTGTACTCTCGCAGGGGTATTCGATCCACACCTATTCCCATGTCTGAATTAGCAGCAAAATACAGATCACGTGGAAACATTGGTGCTGTGGGGACTGGCCAACATGATAGACCAAGGCCTGGATTTTCTTTGGGAGACCTGCACACCACACTGATCATCAGAACGGGGAGATAAGAGAGAATGGTGACAGCAACACTGATCTCATCCTGTTATGATGATTCAATCATGCAGTGTTCCCAGTGTGCTTAGAACATTGGCACTTACTAAACACTATGCAAGTCCTTGTTTTAAAAATACATATGGACCTTTGGGATAACGATAATATTTGTGCGGTCTTTCACCACACATGACACACCTTCAGTGTATTACTTTCCTTGTCCTTCATAGCAATCCTTAGCAAAAAAACCTCATTTTATTGGTTAATAAACTAAGGCTCCATGGGCATTGCAGGGTGGCAGTTGCTGGTGTTTTATTGAGGATTGGCTCTGGGCTCAGATTTCTGAAAGAAGCTTGATCTGTGCTATCTCATTACAACCTCGTGACCTCTTACATCAGAGAAAAGCAATCGAAGCTTGGAGACACGATTTTGTTCAGGGTCACTTAGCTGGAAGATGGTAGCATGAAGGGTTGGAAGCTAAGACTGGTCTATCTGAAAGGCCTGGTGTTTTTATCCTAGGTTGGCATTTCTTAGGCTCTAGGTTGGTGATTGCCTATTATAAACCACTGAACTCCACGGCGGACCCTGGCAATGCATGCTTTAATAAGTCCTCCAGGTTTCCAGCGTGTCACCGATGGAAAAGCAGACAGGATTGGGAGGACATGTGAGATGTTGGGCTCAGGAGACACTTGCCTTGAGGACAGACAGCAGCTGCTACTCTCGCAGCAGCAGCCAGCTTTACCTCTGCTGGGCTCCATGGGATCTATCAGGCAGGGACCCAAGGGACCCGTGGCAAATTCATCTCTAGGAATGGAGTGGTCCCCAAGAGGCCATCGTTCGGCAGAAGCAAAAGCTGTTAATGCTGTCAGTGAGAGCAGAAGGTTACCTAAAACGGGGTACCAGGCATGAGTGAATGATGTGTGTAAAGTGGGCAGCAGTGCAGGACACTGGGGAGCAGAGAGCCTGGGCTCCTGGGAGAACCCACTGCTCAGCTCCTGTGGGTGCTTCCCACACTGTCAGAACTTTGCATTTCCACTCTTAAATGTAGCCCTTGATGGACCTACTCATTTCATGATGCTAGCGATGGGATCCAATAGTCCCAAGTCCTCCGTGAGGATGCACAGAACACATCTGAGAGCTGAGGCAGCCTGTAGCCACTGGTTTATGTCTGGAGTATTCATTGATGGTTTTCTGATTTTTTCTATAGGTTTTTGTGGGGTAAGTGTCATTAGCAGCCAGTAAGATGGAGATAGAGAAGTGTACAAGTGGAACTGCCCAGTGTTCCAGTACCTTACTGATATATAAACCTGGCCATGTCTTTGCCTGGTCTGTGTGGTTTGCACAAGCTGTGAGGGATTCCAACTTGCAGACTGTATCTGAGAAATCAGACTCCATAATGCAAAATTTATAGACGCCTGGCAAGGGCAGTGAATCCCATGGCAATGAGGAACCTTGGTAGTCGTTTCACGACTAGAGGAGCTTTTAGAGAATTGGTTCTAGCTATTGCTGGTCCAGTCGCTGGCTGCCAGATGTTGGGATAAATTCTTGACCAGCATCTTCCATGTATGGGAGTCATGCATGGGAACACTTTACATCAACAAGAACCCGAGTCACATCTGCCCTCCTCAGGTTCACTTCTCAGATTCTACCAGGCCATTTCCTCATCTGGATGTCTGAATGAAAATCCAATGTGGTGTTAACACAGAAAAGATGCTGTGCTTTGTTCTCCAAGAACAAAGAGTTTTGTTCTCAAAACAAAGATAAGTTGAAGGTCTTGGTGTCCCTGTGGCTAACGTTGACGTGCCTGAGAAAGAAAGAAAGATGCCTTGAATCTTTGCTCTGTTTTCTCTCCTTAGTCTGCAGACCTTCAAGAAGTCATGTTCACGGCTCTCATAAAGGACAGGCCCAAGTTTGTCCGCCTCTTCCTGGAGAACGGCCTGAACCTGCAGAAGTTTCTCACCAATGACGTCCTCACCGAGCTCTTTTCCAACCACTTCAGTACCCTGGTGTACCGGAACCTGCAGATTGCCAAGAACTCCTACAATGATGCCCTGCTCACATTTGTGTGGAAGCTGGTTGCCAACTTCCGAAGAGGCTTCTGGAAGGAAGACAGAAGCAGCAGGGATGACTTGGATGTGGAACTCCACGTAGGTTCTGGGACAGGTGTCTGTCTGAAGGCACCAAGTTTTTGAGTCTTTCTTTACAGAAACAGCTCTCCCCTTCTCTACCTCATTGTCCTAGAGTAGCTCACAGGCTGACATGGTTAAGTTTTTTTTCTGCCACCTTTACTTAAACTATAACAAGTATTCTTGATGAATTTTCTGTTGTCTTGGCATTACTCCGTTGAGTATTTCATACTCACTACAGTCTTTCTGAATCATGGACCGTGGTGTGCTGTGCTTTGTGCAAGCATCTAACAGGACGTAGAGATAGGCAGGCAAATGGCTGCCTGCCTGGGGCTCAGCCTACTGAACAGCTTGGCTTTAAGGGGCTCCCTACTTCCGATGGAAGGACTGGGGGTCTGACAGGTGTCTGTCTCTTGTGCATGACAGGGACAGTATTTCCAAAGAGGTAACCCAGGTGTCCCTTAGAGAAGATGTCACAGATGTGCTGCCTGTGGGTTCAGGGATATTCCCAACGTAGGTACTGGCAGGCCCAGGGTTCAGTTGCCGGCACCAGCAACTTTTGATGAAAGATGTATTTGGTCAGTGAGAGCCCAGTGAGTGGCAGAGGTTGCTTCATAAACGTGCCAGCTCCTCTTTATCCACACAAGGCTACTCCTATGGTGGCCCAGAGGAGCTCCTATCTGGTTGTCATGGTAACCTGCTTGCAAAAGCATCTTCTCACTGGCTTCTTTCTTTTCTGATCACATCTCCTCGTTTTCCTCTTGGATTTTCTCAAATCAACTCTGCAAAGAAACTATGTGCCTTAAATTCTTGACTTGGGTTTGCTTTCGGCAGGTAACCCAGATTAGGCCATTAGCTTTTGTAATTCTGGAATGCGTGTGTGTTACAAATTGGAGAGAATGAGGCGTGTGCATGGATTGGAAATATCTGGAGAGCTTCTGTCCGCAGTGTTTCTATGAGAACCCCATGCAGTCTACGTCCCCCTGTGCGCATACATTCTAAGACGTGTGCAAAACACACAAGGATGTGAGAAAGGAGCACACTGCTGGTTATTTTCCATCTGAAGGATTTCTGTTGGAAGATGGTGAATGTTGAATAGGGGTTGGCATGCTAAAAGATGCATTGGGAGTTAAAATCTCTGAATAAAAGTCCGAAGAATTAAGCACAATTTTAGGTTGTAAAATTGAACTTAAATGGAAGGGGCTTCAGAATTCATTTGGAATGATTTTTTTTTTCCTGGATGGAAAACAGATATATATAAGAATGAGGAGGAATTGCTTTCTCTTTGGTCATTCAGTTTAAAATAGTTTTCAGCACGTATTTTTGTCTCTTGCAGCTGTCTGTCAGCTGTGCCCTGTCTTTTATGATCTATAGTAGACTTTGTGTCAAGTTAGGCCAGGACGTGAGTCATAGGCTCAGACTCGAAGCCACAGGGCTTCTCTAACACGGGACTCTCCTCCGAGGTGTCCTGCCCCAGTTCCATCATTAGAGTTGTACATCCATAAACTGACCGCAGGCTTTCACCCTCCCAGGACGTGTCCTTCATTACTCGGCACCCCTTGCAAGCTCTCTTCATCTGGGCCATTCTTCAGAACAAAAAGGAACTCTCCAAGGTCATCTGGGAGCAGGTAAATGCTCATTTGATGTTACATGTTCACTCCGTGTGTGCTTGGATTTTATAGTTCTAACTTTCTCAGAACTCGTCTGTCTGATCCAAACCATCACCAGCAAAACAGATGTGGGATGGATATACTTGGGTCGCTGCTTGCAGGTCAGTGGAGGCGAGATTTGGGAAAGACAGTCCCTGCTTGGGTTGCTGTGTGCAGGTCAGCAGAGGTGGGTTTGAGAGGGACAGACCCTGGAAAGTAGCTGTGCTTGAGTCCAGGAGGCACCTGCTTCTCAGGATGTGTGTGTAGGTTTGTGACTGTTCTCCAACTGAGTTGTGAAGATTCATTACCGTTTGAACTGTTTTATGGTGTTATGTGGAGGAAGCAGGGTCTGCACAAATTCTACTTGGAAAAATGTATAGGAGATTTTCCTCGTGGTGAAGTGAGAATGAATTTTAGTAATGATTTAAGGATGCTTGCACCACCTTCTCCGTGTTTAGAACATAACATTGGATACTGAACAAGGAAGTCAAACACACTGAATTACCAGTTGCATTGCCCTGGTCTCCCATGTCCTCATCCACTTGCCTGCCCCCTCTGAGCTGCTGTGGTGTAAAGTTCTGGAAGAGCAGGCTAGCCTGGGCTCCCACGATCAGAGCCTTGCTGTCAGAGCCTCTGCTCAAGGTCTCTGACTTGACATTTTCTGTTCTGTGCTACTCAAAACCATGAATATGCTCTAGCTCAAGACCAGTTCGCACTCTTTATAAGTCTGACTTTGTACCATGGTGAACAGACCTTCAGATTTCACTGTTCTCTGCTTTTGCTGGAGGTTCCTCCTTGTCTGTCCCTCATGTGGACGTGGTCATGTCCAGGGGTTATGAATTCACCATAGCATTCTTATCTCCCTATAGACCAGGGGCTGTACCCTGGCAGCGCTGGGAGCCAGCAAGCTCCTGAAGACACTGGCAAAGGTGAAGAACGACATCAACGCTGCTGGGGAGTCTGAGGAACTGGCAAATGAGTACGAGACCCGCGCCGTGGGTGAGTCTCCTGGCAGGTCCAAGCCTGCCGTGTGCCCTGCACATCACAGGCTAGGTGGGTGAAGTTGGTGGCATGTCAGGTGCCCTGCCCCACTGGCTTGGCTGAGGCCTGCACTTGTTGTACCTGGACACCCTGGTCTTAGTACTTGCTGACTTTCCCAAGAGCAACCCTGGGGGAGTTTGGGCTCCTTGACCCTGTACGCCCAAGTCCTGGGTCTGAGTGATTCAACACCTCAGAGAATGTGGGAGAATGGCTTGCTTTGTTGGATGCTGTTCAGACACTGATGAGTCTGAGACTTTGTCTGACCTCCAGGTTCATGGCTAGCCTGTCAGCTTGCTGTACGTATCTTTCCTGGGGCTGCACCAAAGCCAGGGCCGCAGCTGGTTTCCCACAGGTAGCCCTGTGAAGGAAGAGCTTCCTCTGGAGTGGAAGGAGGAAGGTGGTCTCCTGGAATGCCTCCAGACGGGGCTGTCTGACCCTTGCTTGCTGCTCAGCAGTTAAACTTGTCAGAGCATTGTGCAGAGGCCTGGGCCCCTTGGGGATATGATCAGTCTAGGAACAAGGCTCCCATCTTGCAGCAGTGCAATTCCAGCCCGTTCCGGGTCCCCCTCTTCCCAGTGCTGCTTAACTTCTATGTTGCGCTCTTGGCAAGCATACTGGCCTGTTGTCTTGTCAGATTAAAATACATCTCTGTGTTGAAAAAAAAAACAATAAAGGTATCCAGTTACTTCTTTGAAGGCATTTAATTTCAAAGACATCGGGCACCTTGTTGCGTGCCTTCAGTTGGGCCGCAGCTCGGGCTAGTTTGAGATTTTACATTTTGCCTTAAGGAGCTATGTCCTGGTCTCCGCATGATCAGCTTTTGATACATGACTGCACCATTTGTGGGACAGCTCTGTTAACTGTCGTAGCCACCCAGGAACTCATGAAGAAAGCACAATGTGGCCATGACAGAGAAGGATCTGGCTGGCAAAGGGGGCTCTGGCGATCTCCCTGTGTCCAGGCTGAAACCCACCAAACAGGGCACTCCCACATCCAGTGTAGCTGCTCCTACCACATGGAGCTGCAGGTGTGGGGAACTTAGGGCAAGTCTCTGCTTGGAACAGCCCTGGGCTGTGATGCGTTCACCGCACCTGCGTGGGTCTGGCTTCACACACTCCATCGTATTCTTGGCTTTGGGGCTTGGCTGGGATGGGGGGTAGGGCAAGGACAGAGTTGTGTGTTTGCCGCCCTGGGCTCCAGCTGCTCTCTCTGCCGACGATGTCACCTCAGAGCTGTTCACGGAGTGTTACAGCAGTGACGAAGATTTGGCCGAGCAGCTGCTGGTCTACTCCTGTGAAGCCTGGGGTGGGAGCAACTGCCTGGAGCTGGCTGTGGAGGCCACCGACCAGCACTTCATCGCCCAGCCTGGGGTGCAGGTATGCAACCTTCACTCTTCCAGCCACTGGCCCACAGACAGATGCCATGAGCAGCATGAAAACAAGGAATACTAACGAGCCCTTCCACTCCAAAAGCACAGCCATAGAGGGGCAGTGGGATGCTGATGGCAGAGGGCGGGCACTGCTGAAGAGGTGATTGCTTCAAGGAGGTGGAATGTTCTTTGAGCTTCCACAAAGTTCGTAGCATATAACTGGAGTGATGAGCCAGATTCTGGACCTCACCTCTTGTGCTTCGATCCACTGTGCCCCTAACTGGGTGTAGGGTGATGGGTCTGAGTGTTGAATCTCTCAGGTGGGCTGGCAGCCACTCTGGGGGCGCTATATGAAAGTGCAGTGCAGTCTTGTGAGGGCATTGTCCTCTGTGTCAGCTGTCACAGTCAGGGTTCAAAGGAGGATGATGGCGGCGGAGGAGCAGTTCCCCCACCCAGAGAGGCACCTGCACTGCACAAAACAGAGCCATTTGCCCCTGCTGCCTTCGCTCACGGCTCCCGCAGGAAGGGCGTGGGGGCGAGAGACTCCTGCTTCTCCACCACTACACCTAGAGCTTCGTCTCATTGTGTCATTCCCATCTGGGTAATGTGCTCTCCGGAGCTCAGCGGGGTCCTTAGCTTGCCAGGCCTGGAGAAGCTGTGCTAGGCTGTGAGCCCACACTTATTGTTTCTCTTGTGGACTTCCTGCTATGCCACGAGGCCAAGAAGGACCTGAGCATTTTCTGACCAAAATCCATTTAATGCTGCACCTGTTTGGAGTCAACAAGAACTGTGACTTAACGACAAGGGACCTGTGGGAAGGGGGCGTTGGGACCGTAGCAGTGGAGTTGCTGGAGTGAGGTGATCACTGGAGCTGGAGTGTGTTTGCAGGGCTGGGAGGCCTGCCATGGCCTTGTCACAGTTTCTTAGACCCCCCACACCCTGTCTTGCTGGTGACCCTGAAGTTGGAGTCCTTTGGAGGCAGATGGATGTTTCTGTTTAGGTATAAGACTCCTAAGTGCTTTTGTCACCTGCTTCCTGCCAGTCACACAACCAGACCCCCTTGCTGGCATGGCCAGGAAACTTGCTTCCTCCTTTCAGGCTACTGTATGGAATATTCTGGAAACCCAGTGCCATTGCCTGCTGTGGTTACCTCAGGGCTTCCTGGCAACAGATCCAGCGGGAGCAGGGGAGTGAGAAAGGCTAGACATGACCAGTCATGGATGCCACCTGCTTTCCTGCTCCTGCAAGGAGGCCTCCCCCCAGCAGACTTTAACACACGAGGCATGTTTTACGGGGATCCGGTAGTGCACGTGGGAGTGACAGTGCATGGCACTGTGCCAACACTCAAGAGAGCTGCTGCTTTGGGTGCCCGGGGCTCCCCAGTTGGGGCTTCTGGGAAAGGCTGTGTCACTCACTCCTGTGGCCTACAGTTTGTAGGGGCTGCTCTTGGGGCTCCCACTGTCCCTCCTGGAGCGGCTGCATTTCTTGCTGGAGCATTCTGGGGAGGAGAGGGGGCTTGTGTGAAAAGCTGCCTGCCTCTGAGGCGAAGGACCACCAGCCCCACTGACACTGGGGTCTACCCTCAAGCCCACCAGCCCCCTTCCACTGGATACTCTATTCAGCGGCCTGGTCAGCGCTTACCTCCTAACAGGAGCTTCTCCTATGTGCCTCCTACGTGTCCTCCTGGGGACCCTACAAGCAGCACTGGCCGAGGCTGTGGAGCTGTGGTCACTGAGGGAAAGGGAGCAGGGAAGACATCACTGAAGCCCACACAATAGGAATTGGATCTTGTTCAAGATTCATGCAGTCTTTGAATTTGGACCTCACACAACCTGTGTTTTAAAGTTCACGTGCCCCTGACTTAGAACAATCAAAGAGGACTTGGGCTTGCTTTACGTAGCCTTTCAGAAGCCAGGTAGCTGCTGCTGGAGGTCAAGTTGTGTTCTGGGAGGGTGTAGGGCTGGGCAGGAAGGCTGCCTACCACGCCACTGTTGGCACACTTAGAAAGACCTGGGTGCTTTGTCTGATTTCCCCGCAGAATTTCCTTTCCAAGCAGTGGTATGGAGAGATCTCACGGGACACCAAGAACTGGAAGATTATTCTGTGCCTGTTCATTATACCCTTGGTGGGCTGTGGCTTTGTATCGTTTAGGTAAGAACCAAGTACGTTCCTACTGTGGCTATGCAGAGAGGTGACTAGGAAGCAGAATAGCTGGGACTGTAACTGATGTGAGATGCTGGTGACTCAAATGACGCAGATGACACCACTACGGCCCGTCCCTGAGCTTGGTTTCCAATGACTAGAAATGACATCGCATCTTCCTCTTCACTAGACCATGCAGAATTTGATTTGTTCAGAACAGAATGCCCCGCCTTGGCTTTGAGTTGGGTTAGTCTTCCAAACCAGTTCTGACCTGGGGAGAAGGGCTGGCGCCACCTGGTGTCCATGTGGATGCTGACACTGCCTTGCCCTGTGCGTCTGGGGAGGTGAGCTGGCGCCACCTGGTGTTCATGTGGACGCTGACACTGCCCTGCCCTGTTTGAGGAGAAGGGATGGCGCCACCTGGTGGTGTTCATTTGGACACTGACGCTGCCCTGCCCTGTGTGTCTGGGGAGAAGGGATGGCGCCACCTGGTGTTCATGTGGATGCTGACACTGCCCTGCCCTGTGTGTCTGGGGAGGTGAGCTGGCGCCACCTGGTGTCCATGTGGACACTGACACTGCCCTGCCCTGTTTGGGGAGAAGGGATGGCGCCACCTGATGGTGTTCATGTGGATGCTGACACTGCCCTGCCCTGTGCATCTGGGGAGGTGAGCTGGCGCCACCTGGTGTTCATGTGGATGCTGACGCTGCCCTGACCTGTGCATCCAGGAAGAAGCCTGTTGACAAGCACAAGCGGCTGCTGTGGCACTACGTGGCCTTCTTCACCTCCCCATTCGTGGTCTTCTCGTGGAACGTGGTCTTCTACATCGCCTTCCTGCTGCTTTTTGCCTACGTGCTGCTCATGGACTTTCACTCCGTGCCACACACGCCTGAGCTCATCCTCTATGCCCTGGTCTTTGTATTATTCTGTGATGAAGTGAGACAGGTAGGAACGCTCCCACACCGGGCTCCTCCTCATTTGCTCAGTGTGTCCTGAGAAGAGCAGAAGTTGCTTCTGGAAGGTCTTACTTTCTGGAAGTAAATGGTCATGACAGTCCATGAGCATGTATCTTCAGGGGCCCTGTCTGTGTTCCTGGGCATGCTTGGTCCAAGGGATGGACATAGCTTGGGGTTGGTGGAGGTGAAGGGCTTAGGTCCTTTAAAGTTGGCCTCCTGAGTGCCTACTGCCTGCCCATGAGGTCACAGCTTTATGTGAGCTGGGCCTGCTGTGTCAGCTCCAGCAGCTGTCATGACATAGCTGCACAGACCTGGCTCAAATCCCCGTTCCCCAGTCCTGGAGACCAGAAATCAGAGCTCAAGCCAGAGGCTGTTAATATGAGCTCTAGTGTCTGCAGTGGATCTGACAAGGGTTAGAAAAGGCACGTGGGGGTGGTTGGTACTGGAGCGACACTGCTGCTCTATCCTCCTCTGGTGGCCAGACTGTGGTCTACTCATGGGTTGCATTAATGGTGGACACAGAGCCCAGTGGGGAAACAGGTCATGAGTGTGTTCATGTCTGCACACACATATGTACACATTCATGCATGTGGAAGCACCCATGTTGTACATATGCCCGGGAGGGGAACCATGCCTGGAACACAGGAGGTGGTTAGTGGATTTGGGTTCAGAGGAAGAGATGTGAGTGTCCAGAGCTGTCTGTCCCTGCCTCTCCCATCTAGGCCAGCCTTTGCTTGCCAGAACAACCCAGAGCCAGTCCTTTCTCCCAGCTTCCTGGGTTCTTTCTTTTTTAAAACAGGGGTTTTTTTTTTTCTTTATTTTGAGTGGTAGGGTTAGAAAGAGAGAGTTTTCATCTGCTGGGCCACCTCCCAAATGGTTGCTATGGTCAGGACTGTGCCAAGCTGAAGCCAGGAGCCAGAAGCTACTTCTAGATCTCCCACATGGGTGCAGAGGGCCAATCACTTGGATCATTCTTTGCTGTTTTTCCTGGGCCATTGGCAGGGAGCTGGACCAAAAGTGGAGCAGCTGGGACTAGAATTGGTGCCATACAGCAGTCAGCATCACAGGCAGTGGTTTTACTTGCTATGCCACAACACTGGTCTGAGTGGTTTCTTTCGATGTCCGACGAAACCAGCCATCCCTTAGACCTGTCCATCAGCAGTTCCTGGGTCTCTTAATGCAGTAGGACCTGGGTCAGAGCTGGAACTGGGGGAACTGTGTGGGAACACGGCAACTGGAGAGCTGCAGGTCGTAGCCTAGTGGGGGCCTCACCTTCCTGCTGCAAGCGGCTGTGGTGAAAAAGGGAAGACAGGCTCCCTCCTGTGGTACCCTGGTGTCCAGATCTCACGCGAGGCTCATCCCAGGGTGATCCCAGGATGCCTGGAATGGGCGTGACTTAATGTCCATTTCTCATCCACACAGAATCCTAGCACAGGAGCTGGACTTGGTGTGGCTCGTGTGTGTGTGTGTGTGAATGTTTCATGAATCAGTGTGTGTGTGTGTGTGTGTGTGTGTGTGTGTGTGTGTGTGTGTGTGTGTGGTGGGGTCTTTACCACTCACCCCTTGTGTACAAGGTGGGGAGCCATTGTCACAGCTTCTGTGACCATAGCTGGGGAAGTGCTGGTGGGAGAGGTCCTGTCCACAGCTGCCTACCTGAAGGTGTCCGGGGCCTCCCTGGGGGGTGGGGTGGGGCTTTAGGGGTGGGGGGGATGGGGCTTTAGGGGTGGGGGGATGGGGCTTTAGGGGTGGGGGGGATGGGGCTTTAGGAGTGGGGGGATGGGGCTTTAGGGGTGGGGGGATGGGGCTTTAGGGGTGGGGGGATGGGGTTTTAGGGGTGTTGGGGGATGGGGCTTTAGGGGCCCCTCTTAGAATGGCTGCAAGACTTGTTCTCCCACTTCCTACCCTCATGCTCCTGGAAACAGCCTCACCAGTCCCACCCTGGACCCTGCCTCCTGCTGCATTAAGATGCAGGAGCTGCCAGGCAGAGGCAGGTGTTGCTCTGGTTCTTTCAGGCGAGGGACATATGGGATGGGGGAAAGGACGTCCCTGGATTGCTGTGAGAGGCAGAGCCGGCCTGGGTGGAAGGCTCAGGAGGCACCTCAGCTGAAGCAAACCCTTCATGTATGCAATGTTCTCTCAGTAGACACTTCTTGAATACATGCTGTGTGCCAGGCACAGGGCAGCACCTGGGACTGAGCCCACGACAGGTGCATCTGCCTTTGTGGGGCTCTCCTCCAGCTAGAGGTGGGAACTTCCAAGGAGAAGAGGTGAGCACGGCCAGTTACCCTGGAGGGGTGAGTCTCAGTCCCTGGGGCCTGGCCCAAAGACTTGTACCAATGAAAGTCACAGACTTGTGCATGCAAAGTTCATGTGTCTAGTTGCCAAGCTACGTACTCAGGCCATGCAGGAGGAAACCCAGGACAGGTCTGCTTGCTTGGCAAAGGGGCCTGGGCAGCAGGTGCAGTGAGGTGTTGGTCCCCTGCTCATGGTGATTGATGTGTGATGTGCAGGGCAATGATGAGAATGTCCAATGGGTTGGTCTCTCTCTTTCTCCCTCTCTCTCTCCTCTTGCTCTCATTGTTTTGGTATGGGCCTCCTGGCATTACCCAGCGGTTTGAAAGATGGAAGCAACAGCACCGGAACTCTTGTGCTTAGATCAGCCACCGGAGCTCAAAGGTCAAGGTCGGATCTCAGCTTTGATTCTGTGCTCTGGGACAAAGCCCTGGAGAGGCCTTGTCATTAAAGCACACTGCCACGCGGTGTCGCTGTTGCTCCTCTTTTTACTGGCTTGGGCGGACACGGGTTTTGGCTGAGAAAGAATTCTGAGGACGCAATGCTGTCTTAATCAACACAGCTCACACTTGTTGGGGAGGGGGGGTAAAATCAGACCTAATTCTCCCCCTAATTTTGATTGTATCTGGCTGTCCTAAAGCTGTGCTCTGCAGGGCCTGCCCAGAGACACTGGCCCGCTCATTTACAGCCCCTGTGTTCCGCAAGCCCAGCGAGGTTGCTGCCCTACTCGGAGTTCCCTTGCGCAGGCTGCAGGGTTTGTGTGAACGCGCTGAGTCCATTCTTGCCCTCGTGAGCGTAGCTGACCAACCGAGGCCCCTTGGAGACCCTGGTCCCGAGCTGAGTCCATTCTTGCCCTCGTGAGCGTAGCTGACCAACTGAGGCCCCTTGGAGACCCTGGTCCCGAGCTGTGTGAAGAAACGCGACTCATCCACATTGTGTAAGAGAAGCGTCTGCATTTCTGCAAGCTACTTTCTCTCTGGCCAAGGTCCCCTATAGACTCCAGAACTGTGTCAGAGGTCGTGCAGGCCAGGCTTCTGGGTCACCTGGGCCACGGTGCCTCTGGGTCTGTTGCAGGTGGCAGGCAGGTACGCACACTTACCTGGCTCCGAGCTGGGGTTCTGTGGGGGCGGAGGGCTGGGGCTGGGGACAGGTGGGACCTAGGCTTGCTCCCTCATCTCACCGTGCAGAGGAGCCTTAGCCCTTGGTGGGCTGTCTTCAGGTTCCCCCAGGAGCCAGCAGAGTCAGTCTTTGCTCAGTGGAGTATGGTCCAGCTGGAGGCTGGAGGCTGGAGAGAATCTCACATCTCATTGGTTGCTGATTTCCTCCAGCCTTTCTGTTGCGTCCACTGAAGTTGAGCTTTGCTGTGAACAGGGAAGGAGAGGTTCTTGGTGAGCGGCCAGCGGTGGGGTGTCTTGCATCCCTTCCACCTTGTGAGTGCAGTGGGGTGAACCTGCTTGGACCCAGAACCGCAAGGCACACTCTCTGGGGAGGTGCCTTGTCTCCCTCTAGGCCTTGGTCCAGGGTTGCGTGTAGCAGGTGGACCCAAGCTGGTAGGCTCCTTCAGTCAAGTGATGAAGGGCCATGTTCCTTTGGGGACTGTTGAGCCACTGGTTTCCTGCCCTGTGGGAGCTTCCTTCCTGGGGCTTCTGTGGTGGTCCACCCCATCCTTACTGCACTGCCTGTTGCACTCATGTGCTGTGTCTTCCCCATGGAGCGCTGGGTTCCTTGGGAATCAGCCTTGCACTGGATCCCATGTCTGTGTGTCCTGAGAGTCTGGATGGGTGTACAGAATCTTGCGAGTTTGTGGTATTGTGACAGGGCAATTGGCCACCTGGCTCATCTGGGATACTGTTGACATGCAGGCTTCCAGGAGATCAGCCTGCCGTCCCTGTTGGGGTATTTTCCTGACACATTTTCTTCTGAGAAGTCAGGAAGGAATGCTGGGAGCCACTGTCCGCCCAATCCTTTCTGTGGCAGCACCTGACTTCCAGTTGCCATCTACCGCACCTGTGTGCAGACTGTCCCAAACGGTTCCTCTCATCTGGATGCTTTGCTGTGCGTGCCAGTCTGTCTCAGCACGCATCTCTAGGATAACAACAGAATGTGTGTGCCACCTTCTCGAATTGTGCAGTGCACACCTGGTACCACGGCATGTGGTGACCCCGATGGTCCTCGTAGACCACAGCTTCATCTGGCAGGATCATGGAGGGTTGCAGACAACTTTCCAATTTCCTCAAGTGGGGTGCGGGTACAGTCTCTCCTGGGAACATCCCGGTTCCCGAAGTGGGGACATGTGACAGGACGGGGAGGCAGTGGACGTTAACGCCCCCGTCTGTCGCTTTCGATGCTGCAGTGGTACATGAACGGCGTGAATTACTTCACTGACCTGTGGAATGTGATGGACACCCTGGGCCTGTTCTACTTCATAGCAGGAATCGTGTTCCGGTGAGTCAGCCTGGCCCCCTTTCCCGGCTCAGTGGGGTGGAGGAAAGTTCTCGGATATTTAAAAATATGTTTATTTATGCATTTGAAAGGAAGAACGCAAGAGACAGGGAGATGGACAGTCATTAAGTGGGATAGAGGAAGAGAGATGAGGAGACACACAGCGAGCCAGCTCACCCCTGGTTCACTTCCCCCACGGTTTTCAGTAGTTGGGGCTGGAACTGAGAAGGCATGCTGGGTCTCCTGTGTGGGTGGCAGGAATCCCAGAACCAGAGCCCTCACTGCTCTTTTCTGGGGTGACTGTGTTAGCAGGGGGCTGAACTAGGAGCAGAGCTGGTGCTGATCCAGGATCACAGATTCCACGCAGCAGTTCAACCACTGTGTCAAATGAGGTTCCTCTGGCTGTTATACATGCACGCACACACACACGGGCACACACACACACGCACATACATATTTAAAAGGAAATGTGTGTGTGTGAGGGGGAGAGAAGTGGCGGGAAAAGAGAGTGTGTGTTTCGTCTGCTGGTTTAGTCCCCAGACATCTGTAAAAGCCAGGGCTGGACCAGGATGAATCTAACATCCCAGGCTTGTTCCAGGTCTCCAGGTGGGTCAGGGGCTCAAGCACTTGGACCCTCTTCTGCTGCTTTCCCAGGTGCGTTAGCAAGGAGCTGGTCAGCAGTGGGGTGCAGAGAACCAGCACTGGCCTGTTCTCTGGCCACTTGAAGCACAGGGATGGCTGTTGCTTCGTTTACATCGTAGACATCAGTGACCTCTGCTTCTCAGAGATGGAGCTCGGTCTCCTTTGCCTGTCCTCCCAGCGGTCCACAATGAAATCGCTTTTTTCTTTGTTCTTACAGACTTTGAGGAGAGATGGTTAGACATTGAGGAGAGTAGAGGCTGATGGGAATGTTAGCTATGGCACAGTTTTGTTCTGTGTGGGGCTGACCATCTTCTCAGATGCACTCGGTCATGCTTGCGGCACCTGCCCTTCCGGTGCTAAACCTGGTGCCCGAGATCAGAGCAGCCGATCCCATTGGACTGTCAAAAGGGAAAGTCTGTGTTTTACACGGTGGAGAGACTGGGGGAGCCGCACACTGTGACCCCACGGCTCATCCTGCGTCCTCCCAGAACTCGACAGTGAAAGTGGTGGTTGAACCAGAGGAGTCAGTGGGGTGTCACTTGGAGAGAAGCCTAACCCTGGCTGTTTACACCTGCCAGGACCAAGATGGCACACAATGGGTGCTCACCCTGCCATCGGAAGAGTGTAGCAGCCCCGTGTTTTCAGGTGTCTCCTGTCTGTTTAGATTAGAGATCTCAGCACTAGAATGGCAGTTGTTGGGCATGACTTCTAGATCTTTCCAATTAGAAAACACACGAGGCCTTCAGTGAGCCTATTAGCAGGTGTCAGGTTAATTAAATGATGTGCCATGCGTGAGGTAAGCCTCATTCAGAGAAGCTGCAAGATCAGTTCCCAAGTGATTGGTCGTGTGGGTAGGGGGCTGGCTTTGCTGTAGAGGACTTGGAATCGGGGTGAGACCGTGGCTTCCAGGAGCTGTTTCGTGTGGTCTCCTTGCCTTCCATGTCTTGCTGTGGCGTCTCCAAGGCTGGGTGCGTGGACATTGGGGTCGGCCGTGTGGCAGATTCTCTGGCCCGCTCTCACATGCTCAGGCTCCCAGCTCCCTTGAAGTCTAGCTCCCCGTTGAAGACAAAGCCTTGAGATGCTCTGTCTTTCCCACACCCTGTACCTCTCCTCTCTCCAGCCTTCATCCCTCCAATAAAAGCTCCTTGTACTCTGGGCGCGTCATTTTCTGCCTGGATTATATCATCTTCACCTTGAGGCTGATCCACATCTTCACTGTGAGCAGAAACTTGGGCCCCAAGATCATCATGTTGCAGAGGATGGTGAGTCTGGAATCTTGGTCATGACTGTTCTCTTGGCTCTATCTCCTGTTCCTTTATGGGGTGTGGGGGGTGCCCAGTGTTTCACAATCAGCATGATTTGTGTTTTGATGAATGTTTGATGGAAGAGGGCTGTGAGAGCCCAGATGTGCCACTTGGTGCCCCGACAAATGGCAACCTCCTCCTTAGCCCTCTCACACCTCACCGTGAGTCTCAGCGACGAACACGAGCAAGGGGAGGGAGTCTACGTCCATTTTAAAGATGTGGGTAGTTGCGTCCAAGGGTGCTAATAGGTTTGTCCTGGAGACAAAAAACAAGCAGTGAACTAGACCCAGAGAGAGATTTGGGACTGAAATCCCATATCCCTGTGACGTAGGGACGGGGAGAGCACCAGGAGAATTTTCATCTACGGATACCAGTCACAGGGGGATGAATGACAGCAGCCACTCATGTTCCCAACCTTAAAGTCACGTGGGCATCTGGTCAGCTCCTCGGGCTGCTGGGACTGCTGGTGGTTACCACTCAAAGCATATCTGACACATCCGGCCACCGTGAAGTCATGTTAAGTGTGCAGAAAAAAATCAAACCACTCATTCTTGTCCTAAAAGGATGACTCCTATTTTTTTAAAAGACCACTTGCAGAAAAAAGCATAGGAGCTAGCGTGCCCTGGGGTGTGGCGTCTGAGGGCCCCTCCCTGACACGAGTCTCTTGGTGCTTGAGCTGAACTCTCAGAAAGCTTTCGGGACCACCATGGCTCAGAGAGCAACAAGAAGTGCCTGAGTGGGTTTTAATTCCAAGAAACGGAGGCACAACACCCACGGGCGATTTGGAGCTAGTATATGAACCACTTGGGTGATGTAGGTTTACCAGGATTTCTCCGTGGCTAGCTGAGCCGTGGTCAGGCGGAGCAGACAGCCACCCTGGGCCCCAGTGATGGCCACCCCGGGCCCCAGTGACGGCCACCCCAGGCCCCAGCGCTGGCCACCCCGGGCCCCAGTGACGGCCACCCCGGGCCCCAGCGCTGGCCACCCCAGGCCCCAGCGCTGACCACCCCGGGCCCCAGTGACGGCCACCCCGGGCCCCAGCGCTGGCCACCCCGGGCCCCAGCGCTGGCCACCCCGGGCCCCAGTGACGGCCACCCCGGGCCCCAGCGCTGGCCACCCCAGGCCCCAGCGCTGACCCTGTTCCCGTGTCCTTCCCTGGCAGCTGATCGACGTGTTTTTCTTCCTGTTCCTCTTTGCGGTGTGGATGGTGGCCTTCGGTGTGGCCAGGCAAGGGATCCTGCGGCAAAACGAGCAACGCTGGAGGTGGATTTTCCGCTCAGTCATCTATGAACCATACTTGGCCATGTTTGGCCAGGTGCCCAGTGACGTGGACGGTAATGTACACAGAGTTGGCAGGAGGCCATGGCTTTCTGACCTGCTGGCTTTCAGACCACAGAGCCAAACTCGAGACCCAACACCGGGCTCAGAGAGAATCTTTCAAAAGCTTGTGTTTGCTCTTCAGTGAGATTTTATTTTTAAAACAAGATTGACTTTATTTATACGAAGGCAGAGTTATAGGGAGAGAGATCTTCCTTCTGCTGGTTCACCCTCTAAATGATGGCAACAACTAGGCTGAAGCCAGAAGCTTCCTCTGGGTCTCCCACGTGGGTGCAGTGGCCCAGGCTCTCCCAGGTGCATTAGCAGGAAGATGGATGGGAAGTGGAGCAGCTGGCACTTGAAGTGGCACTCGCAGGGAACACTGGCAGCTCAGGTGGTGGCTTACCCCTCTGGGCCACAACATTTGTCTGACATTGTCATTGTTAAGGCTTTTGAAAACCTTCTTTTCAACTGTACCATGGAGACCATGAGACTCCTTAGTTCAGAAATGAGCCTGTAAGCTGGTCTCACCTACTTAACCGAGTGACCAGGCAACCACTTAACTTGAAAAGGGCAACGTGGAAAGATTCATGTGGACTTAAGCCTCACAGCATTAGCCCTGCACCAGCTGGTGTTTGGAGCAAGGCTGATGGTGGTCTGGCTGGCTTTCAGCTGCCCACTCCTGGCATATGTAGGGGACGTGGAATGTGTGCAAATCTGTGCACATTTCAGATGAACAGCACGAAGCACTGCCTGCTGCCAATCGTGGTCTCGGCTGTCACCTCTCCTGCCACTGCAGATGCTCCTCAGGGTTTCCTGGAGCCTCGGAGCCTGCCTGTGTTGGGTGTAGCCTTTTGTTCCCTGTTGTTTTCCCTGCTCTCTGTTGCTCCTTCGGCTGCAGAAGGCCTCTTCTGAGAGCTTAGAAACAGCTCTGCATCCATGCTGGGCCTGCCTTGCACCACAAGCAGATGTGGTACATTCCCACGTATGGCTTTCATCCCCTGTGAAGGTCTAGGGAGCAGAAGTCCTGGGTGGCCACTAATGGACTGTGTGCCCTGGGGAATTGAGACCACCTTTCTGTCCCTTTGCTCTGTAATAGGTCAACCCCACATGGCCCCATCTTCATGTCAGGACTAGAAGGATTGCGAAAGGCCAGCTGTTGGGGCCCACTGCATTCTCTGAGTGTTCACATGCTCTTGTTGCAAGGTCTGTCCCCTGCCTTCCTGACCTGGACCAGGGCCTCCACATGTAGGGTACCTTCCCTATGCATGCATCGGGGCCTCCACGTGGTTCTAGACAGCTGCTCTCACCCCGTGCCGTGGGTCCAAGTCTTCAGCTAGTGTTGCTGATTGCAGTTCATAAATGTCTTTGAAATGCAGCTGCCTTTCTCCAGTTTCACATTCCGTCTCTTCTGCCCCAATGCCTGTTCCTCCCTGCCTGCTTAGCCATCAGCTGTGACCTCCTGGACGTCCCTCTGCTCCTTCTGGCTCCTTCTGTACTCTGTAGCCACACTCTGTGCTTGTTCTCTGCCCAAAGCGGTCTGATGGCTTCCTCATGTTTTTTCCTGCCATTTCCATGGGTGTTTCCAAGCCCTATCCCTACCACAGGGTCTTTGCTTGTGCTGTGTGTCTGTTGGGACGCCGACCCAGTTGATGCAACTTGTGCACGTGTGTGTGTTAGGTCTTGTCACGGCCAAGACTCTAACTTGTGTGGCTGATCGTCAGCGTGGTCATGGGCTGGATGCTCTCTAAAGGGGCAGAACATGCCCACTTGGCCCTTCCTCTTGAGCTTACACGGGAGCTCAGCCAATCCTTTCTGGGGGAACAAGCAGGTGGGTGTGAGGATCTCAACCTGGTGTGGACAGAGTGCTATAGGACCTGGCTTCGATATTTCACACGACCTCTTGCTTCCACGCCCTCAGGTACCACGTATGACTTTGCACACTGTACCTTCACCGGAAACGAGTCGAAGCCGCTGTGCGTGGAACTGGACGAACAGAACCTGCCACGCTTCCCCGAGTGGATCACCATCCCCCTCGTGTGCATCTACATGCTGTCCACCAACATCCTGCTGGTCAACCTGCTGGTCGCCATGTTCGGGTGCGTGCTCCTCACGCGTCCATGGGGCAAGGCTGGGGACACTGAGGCCATGGCAGCCAGCTTGAGTCTTTAGTCAATTAGAGGAGTCTGTGTTAAAAAAACTGCACGTGTTTCTCTTAGCTGTGCCTTCTGCCTCAGCAAACCCACGCTCTGTATTTAACTTCGTCCACTTACCAGCCTTTCCAGAAGGCCCTGGTGGCGCCTGAAGTGCCTTCAGTCTCCAAGCTCCCTTACATCAGGACTTGGGCTGAAAGGGGTCAGACTTCAGCCAGCTGACACTTGAAAAGGTTCCGTTCCAGGAAAAACAGCGTGATTGGAGGCCGAATGTGGAGTGCCCATTTGGGTTTGTGGCTAAGGAGGTGCACGGGGGCGGGCCTAGGGCACTCCAGGTACTTTCATTTGCTTTGGTAATTCTCCATTATATATTAGAAGATATATATATTTTTAAATTTCCTCTTCAGTTTTCTTGAGGAGGGTCTGAGAGAGACCCTCCTGATAGTCCATGGGAGACCATATCTGTAAGGGGGGATTCATTCAAGTCCATGAATGCTGGCCCAGATGATGCTTCCCTCCCCCACCAAAAAAAAGAAAGAAAGAAAAAAACCTCTTAAAATTTTAAGGAATTTAAACCTAAACCTTAGGGTGGGAGAGAGTCCTTTATTCCAAACCAGCATCCAGAAGCTATGAGTGACAAGATAAATGCATTAAATCGCATAAAAATCATTTTAGAGGAGAAGATTTTGCAAGTGAAGTTGAGTGATAAACGGGAGACGGGGATGTTGCAAATACATGTGATGAGCAGATATTTCATTCCTGACATGCATGTTTGCAGGAGAAAGACACCCTCTTACAAAAATGCCAGACAGAATGAGCAAGCAATACCGTGAGGGAGAACTCGGTGGCTGACCCCTAGAGTGAAAGAAGCAAAGAGCTCTCCTTGGGTAGAGAAACGGAGCTTCAAATGACCACGACGCGCTGGTTGGGCTGTCAGACAACCAGAGGATGCTGGCAGCATTTATCCTCCAGAGTCCAACAACGACAGAACGAGGCCACCTGTGTGGGCATGTGCCTCTGGGGATGTCACACGGCCAAGGGGCTGAAAGTGGGTGACCATCTGGTCTCCACCTCCTAGACCTGCCCTTTCCTCAAGCACCTGCTCTTGTGTGCTCAGTGAGGAATCTAAAATGTCACTGCGCTGTTTAAAATTCTAAAAGGGTTGTAACATTTCCCCGTAGCTTTCTGGGTAAATTTCAGACTGCTCAGCTTCCCCATAAGGCTGCCCCTATCTTGGTCACTCCTCCCTTGCCCTTTTTCGCCCTGTAAGTACCCCTCAGCAGGGTGATCTGCCGCTCAGTCTGGATTACCTGTGCCACCCTACACTGCCCCCAGGCACCCTCATAAGTTGTTCCTGCTGGTCCTATAAGGGCTTCACCACCCTCCTGCCCTCCCCACCTGAGGAAGAGACTCCTTGGGCTCTGCTTCCTTCTCCTCTTGCTCCTTTTCTCCGTGCAGTGCAGTCTGAGGGATGAACGTGACACCTGTCATCTTAGCCCCTGGGGTTTCCAGGACAGCAGAGGCCAGAATTCCTCCCCGTGTTTAGCTCCCTGTTTCATCCTTGACAATGTGCTTGGTGATCGTCTGAGAAGCATCAAGGGCGAGTGGGAACAGACGGCTTCTCTGCTGGGTGCCATCTGTCCCAGCTTGTCTTCAGGAGGGAATGGGCGACCCTCCCCTTCACCAGGCAGAACTGCTACCCAGGGGCCCCATGGCCTGACCCTATATCAAGGTGTGTGAATAACATCCTGAGGTCATGGGGGCCTAGATTGTGAGCTGGCAGAAAGATGACATGGGACAAGTGGTTATGAATCTAGAGCAAGGGAGGGAGTAAGGCTGGAGAGAAAACGAGGTGCTCTGTGGTCATGTTTTATGGGGATGCTACTTTCATCTTGATTGTGGATGGTTCTCCCCAGACCCAATCACTGAATACATCTGTAGAAGCAAACCCCACATGCGCCGTGGGGTCTCTTGCTCCAAGCAATGCCTCATTGTGACAATCTGAGGGGCTTCCCTGCCCTTAGAGAGACTGTTGGACTAATCCTGCTGAAACTAGAGGCATTTTCTTCTGAGTCCCTGGCTGTGGATTTAGGAGCTGCAGGGTGCTTGTTGGGCCCTGTCATCAGAACCCTGCTCCTAAAGTTGGCTAACGTTGGGTGTCTTCTGTGAGTTGACCTCCCGTCTGACACCACTTCAAGATACTCTGAAAGCCTAACCTTGCACAATGGCAGCCTTATTAGAAGTTAAAGTCTCTGCGGGTTAGCCCTGGAGCTAGCTAGGTAGTTGCTCAACACTGGAAGGAAGTGGAGAAATGTCTGTGATTATTCTACATTCAAACTGTGTTCTAGGTACAACAGGAATTTAAAATCACTCAGCAGCCCCAGTATGTTAGCAGGAGCTTAGAGCTGCTGCATCTCATGCAGTTCTTGCACTTTTTGTTTATTTATTTTTTAACTTGCTTATTTGAGAAAGAACGAGAGAAAGGTACAGAGGCTTGATCTGTTCCTCAAATGTGTGTGACAGTGACAACTTGGCTGGGGGCTGAAGCCAGCAGCTACTTGCTCAATCCAGGTCTCCTACATACGTTCCAGGAACACACATCACTCATCCCTTTCCAGCTGCCTCCAGGTTGTGCGTTTGCAGGGAGCTGGAGTCGGAAGGCCAGGGCTGAAGCTGGGAATCGAACTCAGGCAGTTCAGTGTGGTGTGTGGACATCTGATCTAGCGTCTTAACTACTGGGCTAAATCCCTTCTCCCTCTTCCTCAGTCCTGACAAGGAGTCACCAAGTCTTGATCTGGAATAATTCCCAAGAGGAAAACTTCTTGTTTTTCCTTTGATTTGAGGAATAATGCAAGTTTGTTTTGAACATGCGGAAGAGGAGAAAGAGGAAAGGTCTCCCAGAATAAACTCTCGGCTAATGGAGTGGGGTGAGGGGGAGGAACAGAGAGCGCCGATAATGGTGCCATCGCTGGCTAATGTCTGGTGATGCCCTGGCATTTGGTCGTTTTGGGAGGTGCAGCCCTATCAGCCTTGTGCACATAGTCATGAGTGGGGGGTGATGCCCCTGTTGTTAAGAGAGAAGATGAGAGCTAAACATGTTCATGTAACATAGTGGAAGTAGCAAGAAATGGCAGACAGTCGGGTGTGAAAGTGCTCAGGGCATCGTGACCCTGGAGCCTGTGCTGTGGGGGGGAGAGGGATTTGGGAGAAACAGCAGGTAGGGGCTGGGAGATGGAGGGCGGTGAGGGTCTTTTCTGAAGGGGAAGGGCCATAAGCCTTGCTGTGTTCCTAGCAATGTACTTCCAAAGTCGGCTAGAGGCAGTTACTGTTTGTTTCTTATGAGGGGCCACTGCTGGCTTCCCACTGGTTCTTATATGTTGCAGAATGAGAGGGGAGTTGGGGTATACTGAATGTTTTCACACTGGAAGCACACAAAAGTCGGGGTCACCAGCAGGGCTGGCGAGATAGTGCTGTGAGCAAAGTGTGAGGAGCCCAGTGAGAGTGTGGGATCCATACAGAGCCTGCCAGCAGATCTGCCCGATGGGAATGTGGCTGATGGGCTGCTATTTTCAAATTTGGCCATTGTTTCAGTCTATGCTTTCTGCACGAAGTTGTGCTTTGTTTCTGCACACTCTGCATCCTGTTCTGTTTTGATCAGTCTTTCTACTTTTTTTTTCTTACTACCAAATGGCTTTAATTACTGCATCTTTTTTTTCAAAATCAGTTTTATATCTGTGGTACAAGTTCCCCTTCATTATTCTTACTCAAAACTTTCCTGGCTTTCTTGTATATTTAATCACATGGGAGCCTAAGGCTCCTTTCATTCGAAAAATAATCCTTGTGGATTTCATGGAGATAAAGAAGCACTCGGGGCAAGGTTGACATCTTATCATCTGGTCAAATCATAGGATCCCTGCTTTCCCCAGGGTTGATGGTTCCTCCTGAAGTCACACTTTTTTTCATGAGTCTGGCTGATTGCTTGCTGGCAGTTGCTAGTCATTTGTCTTTGCAAGAGAGATTTTTGTTTTCCTTCTCTGCTTTCCCCAGTGGCTGCATTCTGATATGTAGGAAGGCTGTTAAAGTTTTGCTGTCTGTTGTGGAGCCAGTCTCCCTCCTGAACTTGCCACCTTCCTTTACCATTTATCATGCATGGAAGGCTTCCTCCTTTTCCTTATGTATTAAGCTCCTTTTTCCTCTCTTCCCCTTCTCTAATCAGAAAAGGATGCTGAATGTTGCCAGAAGGCTTGCTAGCAACTGTTGAAGTAGCATTTCTGCCTTTTGATCTAGCATTGTGATAGATTATACGATTGATGAATCATATGAATGTTCTTAATATTGAGTCATCTTTCTTGGGTCACGGCATCTTTCTCTTAACCAACTGCTGGGTTTCATTTGTGCTCAGGGCCATCTGAGTCCTAAACGACTGTGATCTTTCAGGAATGTTCCCAGCCATACTGAACTTCCATGATGTTGTCCCTCCGTGAGACCCTCTGTCTGCCCATCATCTCCAGTTCAGATGGGCTTCCAAAGATGGAGCTCCAGTGGTCACTGCAGACGTCCAGCCAGAAAGCCACCAGAGAGAACTCTAAGGGCATGGGGTAGTGCTGGAGGTGTGGTGCCAAGGGAGAATTGCAGAATTCTCCCAAGTAAGATGCTCCATGGCCAGTGGTGGATGGGAAGGCTGTGGGAGCCATCTGGGATGGGGCAGGTGAGACCCAACCCCAGAGCAGCCCCTCAATCACGCTGATGCACACTTGTGGGTTCTGCAGAGAGCCACATCGCCTTTCTGGAAGCTGCAAATAATCTCTCATGAACAGAGTAATTGTTTTTAGCAGCAAAGCACTTTGAAGCAGAACTCCATTATCAGCCTCCCCTGGAGAACCTGCACGTCTCTTTGGCTGAGCTCAGAGCTGACTTGAGAGGAAAGTGTGTTGGAAGCTGCTGTTGTGCGGGTAGATAGAGCAGCCTCAGTTGACCAACCCCAGAGGCGAATTATTCACACAGCACGGCTCGGGATCTTAGTGCACACAGCGTCAGCCCACTCACCTGCAGCCCCTGGGATACAGATGTGGGATTTCATCATTTATCTGGGGGAGAGGTTGAGAGAAGCTGTGGTCCCTGCAGGAGGATTAGCCCAAGGAACAGATGAACTGGTGATCCAGTGGGCAGGGCTCTTTGAAGTGGGGAAGGTCATACATGCCAAGCTCCAGTTGCTGGGTGCTCATCCCAGTCCCTTCGAGGCCACAAATCTCAGCTTTTCTTACAGGCTGTGGCCCGATGTGTCGGATCAGACCTAAGACCCAACTTAGCCATCCTGAGCTCAGGGAGGGAATGGGGACTGGCCCCCCTGGGATGCAGCTTGCCGATCTTTATTCTAGACAAGTTCAGATCCTCTTTTTTCCCTCTCCAACTCTGAATGCCAGTTAAGCCCAGGCACAAATCTCTTCCGATCTGAACCCTTCTTGGCTGCAGTTCCACATTGAGCTCCCCGAGAAAGGAGGGAGATGATCCTGCCAGGGAGGATGCCTCCCTCTGCCCTTTGCACCCAACACAGTCCTTCCTTCAGTTGGATTTGTTTGTTCCTTTAGCAGAAAACGAGAGTGGGGTGCATTCAAACAGCCACAGCTCTTTCTCTCTGTGTACCTGAGTTTCAAGCCATCCTCTTAATCCATTTTTTAAGCGGATAAGTAAAATTTGAAGATGCTTTCAGGGACAGTAATTTAAATGTAGTGGTGGTTCTGGCACAAACTGGTGAGCGGATTTTGGCTTAGCCTGGATTTCATTAATTGAGGCCGTGCTGGTCATCCTTTCTCATTGCAGTGGCCTTCATGGGCCTCAGAACCAACTGGGAACTGGGGAGGGCAGATCACGATGCTAAATATTAGCCTCCAGGCGGCCTGACCTACATTAGGAAGAAATGCTGGTTGAGCTGTGGCTTTAGTTTGCTGCAGTTTAATACAGCACAATGCTGCTCTTTCCCGTCTGCAGGGTCTACCACACAGGGCCAGCATCAAGATCCCTCAGACAGCCATTCGACAAGCTCAGTGTAAGAGCTCACATGTAGTAGAGGTTCAGTACTCAAGAATTCCTCCCAAGGCTGCACCTTGCTACAGAACTTGGCTTTGGCGTAGAATCCAGGACATGGTATAGACTTCAGCAGTAAGTCATTCATCATTAGCTCGCAAGATGAACCAAGCCAAACCTGAGAGCCAAGCCATAGCTGATGTTTGTGTAGACAAGTATTTTTCTTAGGAATATGGTTCTTCTTGGCCTAAGATAGGTAGGTCTTGGGTTGTACCCTACTGGACTACAAGGATCAGGTCTCACAGCTGGTGCCACTTGATGCTGTGATCGCATTTGCTTTAGCCTCCCAGTTTAACCCTATATTAGGTGTTTTGAAAGTTCCCCCATGGAGAATGTGTTTATAGATTTCAAAGAGCTCATTGCTGTTCCTTCAGCTTTGCACAGTTGGCCTCCTGTCGGCAGCACAGGTGTCTTAGACAGTGTCCGTCATCAAGTGCAAAATGTAATGCAAGCCAGTCACAGCTTTTGGAGAGAGCATAGCTCAGTATGTTCCCTGCCCCTCCCTGTGAATGGTGCGTGGAGTGGGCTGAATAGTGGGGTCCAAATCCTGGCCGCAAGCCATCCTCTCTGAAGCCTGGCTGTATCTCAAGTTCCTGCTCTGTGATCTGTAGATGCTGATGGGGCTCATCTCACAGAGCTTTGTAGAGATGACCGTCCACCAGTCTGAGCAGGTGGCTTAGAACACTACCTGCTATAGAAGTGTTAGACATTTTATAATTTTGACTTCATTGGTAACTGAAAAATCATCAGTGGCATCAGCATTATGATATAAGATGAAATAGACATTTTTGTAACTGCAGGGTATAAGTAAGTCATCCTCATTGCATGATACTGGATAGGCAATGGAAAAGCAAATGGGAAAGGGGTGCAGGGCACCCAATAGGTGACACTGGAGAGGATACTAGCAGTCCTTGGTCTTGCTGTCCCTCAAATTGTGCTTACCTAGAGACATGTGGTCCCTGGGACATGTTTGAGCCTAACTACTTTCACCGACATGTACACATTATCCCAAAGCGTTAAGGTTATTCATAGATGTAAGTTTAATGGTCCCCTGATAGAATCATATCGGTTAGTCCTAACTTGGGTCCTTTGTTTGGGTGGTGAATGTGTAAGCTGTTTTCTCTGCTTGGGAGAGGGGTGGGAGGGACTGTGACCAGCAGTAATAGCTATGTATCTGTTTGCACATTTCCTGTCCCATTGTCTTTTGATCTTCGGTTAAATTCCCAGAAGTGAAGTCACTGTGTCAAAGGGTTGAGTGTTTTTAAGGCTCCTGATAAATATTAGCCAGCTCTGTCCCAGACTGTTTGCAATTAAAAAATGGATGATGGGCAAAATTCTGCCCTCTGAGTGTACATCCTAGGCCTCTGTGTCTGACAGTTACTGGACAACAATGAGTATCCTTAAGAGAACTTGGAAAAGGAAATATCTTTCAAGTTCATCAAGCATTTCCTTGTAGGATTGAAAACACACTTGGGGTCCAGTGTGGGTGGATGTTGGCCTGGTGCTGACTTGCTTGGGCTCTTACACCCTGATGGATTCTAACTTCTTGTCTGGACTAAGGGTTACCAGCAGCACTATGGGAACAGGCTGTGTGACTATGGGGCAGGCAGAGCCTTAAGCCTTGGCTTTCTCTCTCCCCACCAGCTACACTGTGGGCACTGTGCAGGAGAACAACGACCAGGTGTGGAAGTTCCAGAGGTACTTCCTGGTGCAGGAGTACTGCAACCGGCTCAACATCCCCTTCCCCTTCGTCGTCTTCGCCTACTTCTACATGGTGGTGAAGAAGTGCTTCAGCTGCTGCTGCAAGGAGGAAAACATGGAGTCTTCCGCCTGCTGTGAGTGCCTCATCCATTTGTACTTGGGATCTGGGCAGCGATTCACTCCAGGCAAGGGAGTCTGGTCTGCGCAGTAGCAGGGAGGAGTTAATCACAGATAGTTCACTGGATAAGCCAGCAGGCCAGCCAGCAGGTGACCCAGGGAGAGGAGTAGTTCAATAGACTTGAGGAGTAGTCTTGTTTGAGGGAGTGACTTTTTGAAGGGTGTAATAACATCATAGAGTATGCTGAGCAAGAAGAATTCACAAGTATGTCACTTCATGAGTTTGTTTGTTTTTCTGTTGCTTCTTGTGAAGTATCTTCTCTGGTTAATATCAACCCTTACTGCAGTACAACTTGTGACTTCTGGATTGTCCTTAGAGAAAAGCAAGATCTTAACAGTTGTTTTGTTGAAACAAGATCTTGGTACTCGCATTGAGCCTAGAGGTTGGATACAATGCCGGTGCCCCATTCAGTTCAAGTACCCTCATTCAGTGCCTGGCTCCAGGCCGCTGGCTTCCCGCTGTTGTATACACCCTGACAGGCTGCAGAGAAGACTCAAGTGGCTGGTTCCTGCCACCCATGTGGGACATCTAAACTGAATTTCTTTGATCCAGCTCGGTCCTGACTGTTGTGGACACTGGGGAATTGAACCAATAGATGGGAGTGTTCACTCTCCATCTACCTTCCAAATAAATAAAAACCCTATGGAACCTGGTGCCTCCCGTGGTTTGCACTAGCAGGAAGCCCATTATGGGATGCAGGCACCTTGACCACTAGACCAGACAGCCTTCTTCCCAGGTGTAAGTTGGCAGGAAGTATGGGCTGTGAACTTCCCCTCTGGCTCTCACTCCCTTTCTCTGCTGCTTACCTGCTGCCTAACTGGAGCACAAGCAGTGAGAAGAAGAGGAGCTGAGAGTGCCTTTTGGTGGCCATGTCCTGGGCTGTTCCCTGCTCTTGGGTTGGTCAGTAAACCAACCTGCTGAGGCCCTTCCAATGTCCCTGGCTGCCCTCTTCCTGCAGTTCCAGGGACCTGGTTGTGCTCTCCTGAGCCCACCTGCTGGGGCCATTTCAGGGCGCCTGGCTGTCCTCTTCCTATAGTACCAAAGACTTGGCAAGACTCTTCTTGGTAGTATTCCTGATCTTATTCCCAGGGGCTTCCTGCTGGGGATCCACCTCCTCCCGGAAGGCAAAGCTGACCCTGCCACGGGCCAGTATGTTCATTTTCACAGATCACTTGCCTCCTCAGCCCTGACAAACTGTGGGAGTTCAGGCAGGCCTTCCATCACCCCATCTCTACTGTGGGTAGGAGCAGTTGTCAGCCAGCATTCAGCAACATTAGAGCCAGATGTGTTCTGACCGTGGTGGCTCTCTCTTGCTGAGCCTGTAGAAAATTCCCATCAGGCCTCTATTTCTCAGTGCTCAGTGAATCACTAAGCTGGAGGGAGAGGCCACTCTGTTATCCATTTGGGTATAACGGTGCCACCAGCCTCAGGACTGGCCCTGGTGTGCCTTCCTCGATCCTCTCCAGGCTCAGGCACCTAAGCTCAAGCTTGAAGGAGCTTTACCTTTCCCTGCTCTTGGCTTTGCTTCCAAATTTACATGTTTTGACAGTTGATTTGAAGGTCTTGTGTATTTTCCATCATGGACAGCAACTTCCTGGGCAGATCTGTGGTCCATGTGAACATTACACAAACGCACGCCCTTGATTCTGAAGAATGACCTTGGAAATGTGGGACCAAAATGGGTTCCGTGGATATCATCATAGCAGGGAAGGAAAGTCATCTCCTTTATTCATCTTAGGGGGTGCTAAGGGCCCCCAGACGCAAACTAACAAGCCTACAAACATGTTTAACTTAAGTTTTGGCTGGCATAGGAACCTTCCTATGAAAATGAAGACCCTAAAACACACACACACACACACACACACACACACACACACACACACACACACACTCGGGTGATTTTTATAGCCAGGTGATAAAGGATGGAGAGTGATGGAGGGACATTAACAGAGGAAGGAGTGACCTAACGGGAACAAGCTGGGGCTGTGCCAGACCTGACCCCTCTCTTCTCCATGCACCTGAGGAGGGCGAGTCTCAAGCTCAACTTCCAGGAAAGGTCAGAGTTGTTGGAAGGTGTCACAATCTGAGGAAAGCCAGAGAGAACTTCCCTTTTGCACCATTTTCTTAAATTCTTCCAGAGTAAAGTGTGCAAAGTGCTTAGCACATGGCTGAACAGCACTGTGAGTTACTTCCTAGATAACCGTGAAGAAGCAGTGGGCCACCTTCCACAAAGTGCCTGAGATAGAGGGATTAAAAAGCCAATCAGTGAGTCCTTACCAATTCCCAAAGCAGGAGCCGACGACCCCATTTCCCACTGCAGCCGTCTTTGGAAGAATTTGTAAAACCTATGCTACATTGACCACAGGTCTGAACTGGAAAGAGGAGAGCAAGGAAGGGTAGAAACTCTGTATCAGCAAGAAGAAAGCAAGAGAGGGGGTGTACCCTCCAGTGACACAGAAATAAGTGCTGGAGAAGTGGTTGTGTTACAGGAGGTATCTCTTTCTTCACAAATATCAGTCCACAGCTCTGAGAGTATGTCCTCAAGAAAGGCACCTGGGACTTGGCCGAGGTCAGGTGGGAGCCAGACTAGAGAGGAAGTGGGGAGCGTCACAAAGAACCCAGGACACAGCCAGGGAAGGGGCCCAGGGAGCATGAATTCAAAATAGTTCACATCCCCAGCACGTGGCAGCCAGACTCTGCAGCTGTGATGCTAAATCAGGTCTAAGCCACCCATGTCCTCTGACAGGGATCATAAGCTGGGGGTGGGGAGAATGAAAATGGACAAGCCTTGTTAGATGAGTATGGGAAGCATTAAAATTGGAGAATGAACAGATCAGAAAATGGATAAGGAGATAATATATAATGGGAGACCCAGAAGGTGACCTGAAATGAGCCAGACAAAAAAGCAGAGTTAGGACTGGTAACAGGGGTCTCCTCAATGGAGGAGGAGAATGGGAAGACTGGGTTGGGTCCTCAGCCACCCTGTGGCTCCGCACCACTGCCTGCCCACCATTCCTGGTGCCAGAGCAGGGAAAGAGTGCTACTCATGGGGCTGAGAGGCAGCGGGCATGGGCAACGTGGTTGGCTTGTCTCCCTTGAGATAGCAGAGACAGAAGTAATCGCCAGGGCCGCTCTCAGCTCGGCTGGTACAACCATGCCACTCCAATGCTGGACTCGTTCTTGTGACTTGTGAAGGAGCAGTCCTCTTGGGGGAGTTGGGGAGCAAGTGGATCTTGAGGTGTTCCCCCCACAGCACAAACACTTGGCAAAAGAAAAGTCTCTGTTAAATGGGAGAAGAAGGGGGACGGGTTGAAAGTGATTGGGAAAGGAGGCAAGCATCCAGTACAAATGATTAAAGGAATACATTGATTTTTTTTCCACGGTGGGTTAGAGTTTTCCACTTGGTTCTTGTATGGTGCTTCCCAGTGGCTGCTGGACTGAGGTTGTGCCCTGGGCTGGTTCCTCATCTCTAAAAAGTGATCACTGATTGCCATCATTAGATTCACCTTCTGTGTTGGGGTAATTGCCACTGTCCTTTTAGTGTGACTTCAAATACGTTGATGACTCAAAAAGCAAAAATATGAGTTGCACAAACCCAGACATGGTCGTGGGTGGTAATTAGGAAACCTTTGACCTTGTGAGGTTTCTGAAGGGAATAGAAAGGGAGGGTGAGATGCCCTGGAGTGTGACCTCGAATGTTGATTGTAACATATTCCAGGCTGACCTGGAACCATGATCACTGGAGGGAGAATATGCCAGTGACCCCCCAGCTCTTGCCTCAGTTGAAGAGTCATCACGGACAACTCGTTTAACAGCATTATTTCAAAACATCACATGCCATTTGGGGGCTGTCATTAACTAATGCACATGTGTGATTGCTTTTCTTAATGAAGAGAATGTTTTGACAGTTTGGATAAGTTCCTATCTTTCTCTTCATCATTTTTTTAAAAAAAAGATTTATTTATTTAACTTGAAAGGAAGAATTATGATTTTTTTTTTAATCCACTGGTTCACTCCCCATATGACTACAACATCTGGTGGCTGAGCTTATCTGAAATCAGGAAGCAGGAGCTTCTGGGTCTCACATGTGTACAGGGGTCCAAGCACTTGGGTCACCCTTCGCTACTTTCCCAGGTAGGAGTTGGATTGGAAAGTGGAGCAGCCGGGACTCTATCTGGTGCCAGTATGGGATGCTCATGCCGCAAGTGAGACTACCACTTTCCCGTTGTTTTTGCCTTTGGAAGACAAAGTGAGTCATTTCGAATGAAAAGAATGTAAAGTTTCTATAGCAGGGCTGAGAATTGAAGTCAGGACCTGGAATCTATAACCGAAGACCGCAGAGAAACTCCAGAGGCACCTACTGATTTGCTTGGGGACTGTCTTCGGTTCTGTCTTGGAATTACATCCCAGATAAGTGTCTGTAAGACCCAGGAGAGATTCAGGAGACCTCTCCATGCCCCTAGGTGGCTCACCAGTGGCATACAATGGCTCCAGGGGTAAATGTTACAACAAGGAAGACTGACTTAGTGTAAAGAGAACGTTGTCTATCAGTTAGTGCCATCTGGGAATGGATTGAACTGCCCCTCTCTTGTGAGGCCAGGTTGGGGCTGTGTGGACTCTGTGAGGGGCTTCCTGGGCTGGAGGGCCTTTCTCCAGCAAGCCTTTGTGCTCAGTCCGGGGTCAGTGGGATCAAGAATGTTGGTATACAAGACAGGACTAGGCTGTCCACCGGATTTGGGGGAGTTCAGGAGCAGGAACAGACTCCTCCCCAAAACATGTCTAGTGACACAGTGCAATCTGAACATGGAGTGGGGAACAAGCACTCCTGTTTTGGCTGCTACATGGAAAGGTTTATCTTGAGGAAGCAAGAAATGGATCAGAAGTGAGTGATGTTAACCTGGCCCTCGGAGGACAATGACCTCACAGTAATGGGAAGGCCACTGGGGACTGTTGCATTGTCCTTCTTCAGAACAAACAAGTGACAGGATGGGAATCCACACTAGAGCAGGGTTCTTCCAGGGTGGCGTGGTGTGGAGGGAAAGCAAGCCCAGAACTTGAGTTGCGAACTGGAAACTGCCTGGTGTGCCTGGGCACTGTCTGCTCATTTGCGCCTCCGTGGAGGCGTCTGATTGCAGACGCCAGGGTGCTCTGAGGTCACTGGAGTCTCCAGCTGGCAGGTCACTTCCTAGGTGGATACTGCACTAGCTTCCTAACGCTGGGCGAGTCATGGCTTCAATTGTAAAATCGCCCTTCTTTGGAGAAAGAGGAGTCACGCTTTTAAAATAACTTTCAGAAGAGTAAAATCCAAGCTTTCATTTTCAGTGCTTTTTTTGGTAACACCCTCAAATAATGAAAAAATAAGCATGCACCTCAATAATTGCATTTTTAATGAAATGGCTGATTTGTGTGTGTGTGCGTGTTATTTAGACAACATTCTCCTTTCATTCTAAAACATTTGGAAAACACAAGAAAGCACAAATAGGGATGGAGTGTACAGGTAACCCGTCACCTGGAGATGAATATTGTCAACGTACTCGTGCTGACCGCATTGTTCTGTGTGGCTGTCCGAATTGGATGGCTCTATGTATACCCACTCATGACCTAGTTCTTCCAGTTAACTAGAACAGTGCAATGTGAACATTTTCCATTTGTGATTAGCTGTGGAATATTCTGGCCTGTGGAAGTACCATACATTGATCTAGCCGATGCCAGACTGTTAACCATTGTGATGACTGGTTAATGGAGGGTACTAGGATGAAGGGTTTCATGCGTGTGTCTTTGAACATGTTTGACCATTTCTGGTAGAGGGACTGTTGGATAAAGGTCCCACACACTTCCACGCTGTCTGCGCCCTCCTCGCTTTCTCATCTCTCGTCACCCCTACGTTTCTAACCATGGATTTGTTTTCCCAGTTGGCGTTTTTATGCAAACAGATATGGCCATGATTTTAGAATCTTCTCTAAGTTTGCAGTTTCCCTGGTGGCCTTGCACTGTGGTCTTCCTACCAGCACCTTCTTGGCTGTTGCTCGGGCTGCTTGTTCCTCTCCCCAGATGTCTGTGTTTAGGAGCTACTGCCCTTTCTTTGATGATTTTGTGAACTTCTCATAGGCTTCGAAATGCATTTTAGTTTGTGGGGGGAAAATAGACACTGAAAGTAACTTTGCTAGAAAAAGAAATAGGATTGACAAAAATTAGTTCAGAATTATCTTATGAATCAATTACTCACCATTTAAAAATAAGTCTGGGGGATGATGTCATGGTGAAGGGGGTTAAACTAATACCTGTGCCACCACCATCCCAGAGGGTGCTGGTTCTAGCCCTGCCTGCTGATTCTGATCCAACTCCTTGCATATGCACCTGGGAAAGCAGAGCAGCGTGGCCCAGGTGCTTGGGTTGCTGTACTTATACAGATCAAGATGGAATTCCAGGCTGCCACGTTCAGCTGAGCTCAACCTTTCACCATTTTGACCACGGGGGGAGGAAAGAGGGGGCATGAATCAGTGGGTGGAAGATCTCTCTCTCTCTCTCTCTCGGTGTGTTTCTCTATATAATTGTGTGTTCAGATGGGTGCATCTTTAAGAAAAAAAATGTGTTTAAATATATTTGCACTAATGATTTGCTTAAATCTAGCCACTTGCATTTTATTCCTTTGCTGTCTACCTAATTCTTTTAAATCTAGGAATACTTTATAATTGTTCCTAAGCTATGCCATGTTGACGCATAAAACAAAATGGTCCTATAAAGTGAAAATGACATGAATATATTTCACCTGGACAATTGTTTGCACACATGCAGCTTCATGTCCCCGTATATTAGTCGCGTGGTTTGTTGTCCACTGAAAAACATGAGGTTGCTTCAGAGAGTCCCTGGAGAAACAAAATTAATAAACATTTATTTCAGTACAAAAAACTGAAATTGATAACTTTCATAGCACACATTTCCTGTGAGATTTTTGAAGATCCCTTGAATGCATGGATTTCAAAATTTTGTCTTGGCAGCCAAATAAAGTTTTCTTTTCATTTTATTTTCCAAGAACTTTTTGAGATACTCCTGTAGATGACATGCTGGTCCTTTCTTTTGCTGGCCTGCCTCTGGAGAGGTCTGGGCACTCTTAGGAACAGCACTGTGGATCTTCCTGGAGTGTGTTCCAAGCCAGTCTTCCAGCATGTCCTGGCTTGGGTGCAAAGGAAAGACTGGAGGTGTGATTTTCTAAGATCTGTGCCTGGGTGACATGCTCAAGAGAGCCAGGGCATCCTGGGCTGTCCTCTCCCCGGCTGGCCTGGTGTTCTGAGGCAGCAATTCCAGAGTCACTATACAATGGGATTGTTGAGCATTTTTATGCCAATACAATAGAAGTGGAACACAAATCAAATATGAGAATGGAATGCATTAGTGGAGAGCTTTTGCTACATCACAAAACACAGGGACAGCATTCGGATCGATCTCTATTTAGAATAAGGATTGTATTCCTGTTTCATGCAGGCAGCTCCCATTGCTCCTGAACCATGCGTTACTGCTGTCTTTCTCTGCTGCTGTCTGGTGAACAAGCTTAGGGAGATCCGCCTGCACAAGACGTATCTAACTGTCCCTGGGCCAGTGTTTCACAAAATGCCTAGCAGGTGTTGCTTGAAGAAGTCGGGGCAAGTGTAGTCATTTAAACTTGTTTTTTTTCCCCCCTCCTCATTAAAGGTTTCAGAAATGAAGACAACGAGACGCTGGCATGGGAGGGGGTCATGAAGGAAAATTATCTCGTCAAGATCAACACGAAAGCCAATGACACCTCAGAGGAGTATGTTGACCACTCTCTTCTGTCTTGCAAGACCCCGTGGTATCCCTAAGCTGGCATGCACAGGCAGCTAACTGGGGCAAGCTCTGGAAAGGGCACTGCCTGGACGAGAGCAAAAGCATCACAAGGATGACACATGGTAGCTGATGAGAACAGAGATGCAGGTGCAAGCCAGCCTTTCTCCAAGCCTGGCTGCTACACAGTGGCCCTGAGCGAGCCAGCAGATAGAACCCACCACTCTCTCTCCATCTGCCTCGCTGTCTCTGGCTCCCTGTCAAATACATTTTTAAAAGATCACTCTAACAGGATACAGGTGCCCTAAGCATAGCACACCTCTTTGTTTCAACTCAACTGCTGAGAGGAGTGGGATATGGTATTTTCCACTGGACAACCAAGCGAATGTCCTAAGCTCCTCTCTCCCAGATCTCAATCTTGGGTTCAGGTGGGAGGGAGGGGCTTTGCAGCTCACCTTCCACCAAATTGTCAACACAGTAGCCTTTATTATTCTGACCTGCTAATTGGGTGAAAGAGAAATTCTGCCTCATTAGGAAGAAAACCAGGGAGGCAAAGGCAGCTGACCCTTGACTGTGTTGAAGATAAAAGCATCTGTATTCTGTCCTTCAAAAGGCTGAAAAATGGAGCCCAACTGTTTTTTTCCTCTCTCTCTCTCTCTCTCTCTCTCTCTCTCTCTCTCTCACTTTCTTTTTCTAATTCCCTTGCAGAATGAGACACCGCTTCAGACAACTGGACACGAAGGTATGGCTGTGTATCTTTAATTTCTTTGAGCTTTCAGTGGGAGTCCAGTGGTTATGGTCAGAACCAGTTTATCGTGAAGACAATTTGATGTGATGTGTTCTATGCTCAAGATCCTCCTTTCGTCACACAAGGACTTCAAGCTGGAAGGCGACTGCTTCCCAGTCCACATGGTGACTGGTCCTAAAGTCTCCCTTCATGATCTCTGGAGTCTGCCCTAGCTAAGCCAGCATTCTCTTTTTCTTTCTGCTATAGAAGTAGTGAAGATGCTTGCAGTGCAGGGATAATGAGAAAGACTCCAAGGAGCTGTTTGTGGGGGGTCTTTGGGCTTCTCTACTGGTCTTTGATGCCACCTTAATTCGTTATCTATTTAATTTTATGGGCACTGCAGATGTGTGAAGATGTGTAGACGTTAGGCACCAAGTCAGTGTGCCTACCGGCCCTGGGCTGGATTTCTGCAGGTTATGGTCATGTTCAGCAGAGATTACAATGGATTCATAAATGTCTGATCCCCGTTAGGCTCTGAAGGGAGGGTGCATAGTGTTTTCCCATGGAATTTGGGGAATGGCAACCTGGGTAATGATATTGGTCAGTCTCTCAAGCTTATCACAGCGTCTCTATCATCGTCTCCACTAACATTCAATGAGTGTTGCCTTTGGCAGAGCTGTAATATTAGCAGGTATCTGTTTTCAATCTTTTTGTTTGTTTTCAATCTTAATATATTTATGTTAGTTATCAGTTTTTAAATTGAAGCTGTTTCCATGGTCTTTACTTCTGAACTTTAACTCTTGGCAGCATGTTGATAACCAGGGCTGTGGCCTGGTCCTTCCAGGAGGATTGGCTCAGGGAAGCTAGGTTTTCCTTGGGTCTGTCTCTTCTTCCTTCTCCTGCAACTGCCTGCTCTGTATGTGGGAATCAGTGGCTTACCATGTTTATATAGACTGTGTGAGTGACTACAAGTGTTAGTCACTATTTAATATGTATATTAATCATTGTGCTTGGTCCATGAGGCTGTGTGTAAGAAGCCCAGGAAGGCTCAGCTGGTCAGCTTTTCTGCTTCCTGTGGTCCCTGCTGGCTTTACTGGGATGGAGTCAGCTGATGGCCTGACGAGGTGCTGGCATCTTGGTGCTGCTCTTTGCGTCCCCACCACATGACATCACATCCTTTCAGGCCCGTGCACTTGGTTTGTTGGAGCTTGGTGGTCCTGGGATGGGCCCCCTTCTTACACAGGAGCTGGTATATAACCATGAGAACACAAGAATTGGCAATGCTCTTCATGGCTGGGCATGCACTTGGCTCTTGATGTAGGAGTGACACATGCGTGCAGGGAGAAAGAACTGATGGAGGTCCAGTCTCTAGGCATGCTGCCACACAGCAGTGTGTCATCTTCCAGCTGTTTTAGCTGCGGGGTTGGGATGGCTCCTGGGTCACTAAATTTGATACCTATGCACTAACAATCATGTCAGATGTCACAGTCATGATCAAAGGAGAGGAAAAAGCAAAGTGCTACATATTTTCTGAGATCATACAAGAACCGAAGAATACTTAGAGAATGTTGAAAGGAACTACCGGGAATAGGATTCTAAGAGTATATTAGACATTTAATATATTATATGGATTGAAAATAACCTTAAATAATCTTGTTTGAAAATATTTTTTATACTAATTACATTGCATTATGTGACACTGTTTCATAGGCTCTAGGTTTCCCCCAACTCCTCCCCGTACCCTCCTCCTACGGTGGATTACTCCACCTTTTTGCAGTATTACAGTTCAAATTCAGTCATGTATACCAAGCATAGAGTTCAGCATCTTATTGTTGAGATAAATTCAATAGTCTCTTGGGGAGACCATCTCTGGTCTGAAGGCAGAGCTGGCAGAATATCATCCCGATCAATTTAAAGCCACAACATCACATCAACAACAGTTTACAACATGATGGAGTTAATTGACATGGTATTGAGTAATCAGTATGTTAAACAATGCAAATTCTTAATCGCATCCTGTGACTACTTCATTGACATTTCTATTTTGGTTTATATACTACTGGCTTCTATACACCTTAAAATGACTATAGGGTACTATTCAGCTGTCTCATGTCTATTTTCATTTTTGAATTTAGCAGTTTATAGTGTTGAAGCATAATTTTGCTGAACTTGCCAGATTTTAGGATAGTCAAAACTGGCTTATAACTCTGACAAGGCATATGTCAACAGTTGAGGTGCAGACCAGTTTTAGGAGGGGTGTGCAGAGAAATCTTCAATACCTTAGTAAGGAGTAATTAATTTTTGTGTCCTACCTAGTAAGGTATGTATGAGTCCATGCTGACCATTTCCTGTCTGGTTCTAAGCTTTCCTTCTTGTTTTCTGTCTATCCATTCTAATGTGTGTGTGTGTGTGTGTGTGTGTGTGTGTGTGTGTGTGTGTGTGTGTGTGTGTGTGTTTGCGGGGGGGTAGGGAGTGGGCTCTGGAGCAACCCTGATGGTCATTGCAAGAGAGGGTGGGGATCCAAAGTTGGAACTAAGTAAGGACCAGAGAAAGCTCCTCTGCCTAGTCCCAAAGGAAGTTTACTGTTCTGTTTCTGTGGACTGCTCAAGGCTCCTGGCTGTAGTTCCGATGACCTTGGATCCTGCGAGGAAGGATTTGGGCTTCTTCCATCTCATGAGGGAGATCCAAACAGGAGTAGATGACCTCAGAGTTCTCGGCCTCTGAAGGCACTCCAGTCCCCCATGGTTTCTTTGGCAATTGGGATGAAGTCCTTGGTGCCTGTACTGATAGTCCTTGGTGAGGATCCGGAGTCTCCAGGGTTAGGATACATGCCTCCTCCTGTCCACCTGCTCCACTCTGGGTCCCCCCCTGCTCTATGCATATGACCTCCTGTTAAGAGATTCTCAGGATGGCTCTTGATTCCCTCTGTATGTCTTTGTAGTTTTACTGTTGTCTAATGCTGATTTGAATCTGTGGTCTATAAGTTACCTGTTATGTTCCTGATAGGTGAAAATAACCTTATATATTTTTTTCACATCATATATTTCTATTTAAACATATTGTCAGCTTTAGCTTCATTGAAGCCATGTAACTCGTAATGTTTACTGGGTCACTGCCTTCCGCATAGACCCCGTAGTTTTGGAATGAGTCCTTAGTTGAGTGGTTTGGGGCTTAGGAGTATTTTCAAGCTGGAGCTAGAAGTAGACAACATTAACGATTCTGTGTGCTGTGTCTGGCAGGCACTTGACACAGCCCGTGCCTATATCACAAGCATGTCGGGACTGGCAGTCATGTTAGGGGAAATGGGGTTGTTCCAGGCAGGAAGTGCCCTGGTGAGAGCTGAGTGGGAGGATATGGGAGGGACCAGTCTCCAGGAACTCATCTTGTTCTGCAGGTGGATTTTATTCCCATGCCATGAAGCAAGTGGGGATTTTCAATCCTTCAGAGGAACACGCCTGGTGCATTCTTTCTCTGAGTGACTGGGACAGCTGTTAGGACAGAGGAACAGAGCTGCTTGGGAGTGTCCAGGTGTGTGCAGAAAGCAGCCCATTTTAGTTTGCTTGGTTTTGTTACTTGTGGGTTTATCTAGGGTGACTTTGTAGAGAACTCATCTCCCATCCCCAAGTCACACCTTGATCCCATCCTCATTTGTGACATGCAGAGAATGACAGAAGAGACAGCAGCTGTGGACCTGGGGAGACAGGTGCCTGCGGGAGGTTTGACCTTCCAAGAAATCCACCAGGTCCTTCCAGATGAAAGCTGGGGATGTGGAGGCCCTGGAGAAGCCGACTTGACTCCCAGGGACCAAGGGGTTAGTGGGCCCAGCCCTTTGAAGCAGCTGTAAAGTGTAGGCTTGGGTGGGATTGGCACCGTTAAGCTTCTGTAGTGTCCTTTTAAAACTAAGAACTTTATTTTTTCAACAACTGCACTGACAAGTGTGTGTGTGAGTGCATGTATGGAATTTGATGTTTGAGTGCATGTATGCTTTGCAAAAATGATGACCACAATCATACCCAGCCAATCAATACATCTGCCCCTTCTACATAGTAATGACGTGTACGTGTGAGAACTCAGATTTAGGACCTGTCCTCTCATTACATAGTCAGGATGGAGGCAGATGGGAGGGGCACTGGCTGATGCAATTAGGCCGGGGGACTACCAGACCAGAAACCCCTGCCTGGAGTGGAAGTGATTTATGGGCTTGGCCAGGCCAGAGGGCCCCTATCAGCACTCACGCAACCGTGTAGTGAGATGTTCCTTCCCTTGGTAGACCCCATCCCACTTCCTGTTTTAACCTGCGTGTAAAAGCCCTGGTTCACAATCCCCAGGAGTGACTTCCATGGCCCTGTGTCTGTGCTGGACCAGTGAGCCTCACCCAGGAGTACTCCCAATAAAGCTCACTTTGAGCCAAGCCTCCCTTTCTGTGGGATCAGACATTACAGTAGGGGCAGGAATCTTCTCTCAGCACCGCAAGCCCGCCCCATCCACGTGGAGAGCAGAGGTGCTCCCAGAGAGCTGCCTGGCTGTCAGTGCTCTGCCTTGGGCTTTGAATCCAGGTGCCTATGATGGGACGGGGAGGAGGCACCTGGTGGTCCTGTGTGGGGACCCTGCTGCCTGCCAACCCTCCAGGCCACACTCAGAGTCAGGGAGGACCATGGCTTTGTTCTGATAAAATCCCCTGGTGCTGCGTGTGAGCCAAGGCAGCCTCTACTTGTATTAAGAAGGTGCTTTCTGGGCCCAGTGTGGTAACCTAGCAGCTAAAGTCCTCACCTTGCAGTATCATGCGGACACCGGACTGCTCTGACATCGGTCCCTGCGGATGGCGGTTGGCATCTCCTCCAGCCCCCAAAGTTGGGAGTCGCCAGGGAGGTCCCTGCTTGGGGCTGCCTGTCCACATTGCTCCACGGTGCCGGAAACTTCTCTCCAGCTCTCTCCTGGGCATGTACGCCCTCCACGTTTCTTCTGTCAAAAGCAGTGCCTCTTTTACTCCCCATTCTGCCATCTTGGATTCAAGTATTATTTCTCTTCATTTCCTTTTGGGAATATAGAAACGTGATTGACACGTGTGTGTTGATTTTGTGTTCTGAAACTTCGCTGAAGATCCCTTAATTCAAAAAGTCACCCCCCCTTCGATCCTCTGGGGTTTTCCGCATGTGACATCACGTTACCTGCAAGAAGGGGTAATTCGTTTCTTTCTTCCTTGCACGAACATGTTGCCTTTCTCCTTCTTGTGGACCACTCTGGCTGGGGGGCTCCAGTACTCTGCTGAACAACAGTGGTCACAGTAGATATTTTTCATTATTCCAGATTTTGGAGGAAAATCTGTTTTTCACCATTGAATATCCTGCTCATTATAGCATTTCATAGGTAGCTTTTGTTGTTTTGAAGCTAAATTTCTTCCATTCTTCTTATTTTATGAGAGGACGTTGAATTTTGCCAACTTCCTTCTATACTAAGAAGACCACGTGGTTTCTGATTCCCAAACTGTTACTGTAGTGTAGAGGTCCGATTAGGCAGTGCTGTCATCTCATCCAAGGGTTTCGTACCATGGTCATGGGGTATTTCTCATCTGTTCTTGAATTCAGGTTTCTGATATTTGATGCAAGATTTTTGCACAAATGTTCGTCTGGAATATTGGCCTGTTGTTATCTTTGGATTTGGTATCAGGCTGATACTGACCTCAAATAGTGAGTTTTGACCTATTCCCTCTTTAATTTTTTTGGGAAGAGTTTAAGGAGGGATGGTATCTGGGTATCTGTGAATGTTTGGTAAAGTAAGCCATGTAACTGTACAGCCCTGGGCTTTCTCTTTGTTTATCGGTTGTTGGCTACTGGATCAAATTCCTTGTTTGTTATGGGTCAGTTTGGGCTTCATGTTTTTTTCTCGTGTGCTCTTGGTACACTGTATGCGTTTAGGGATTTCCCCGAGCTAAACTTGTGCTCCTATTTCAGACTGGCTAGCAGCAGTGCCCTAATAGGCAGTGAAGTGGAGCTGGGCCTACGTGTTTTTAGCATGCCTTTTGCAGAAAACTTCTTTTACCTAGTGTATAACACCTCACGGCCAGAGCATCTCCCATGTGGGGAGTTCGCTCACACTGGCAGAGGCCCTGTGGCTCTCTTGTCTGACCCGTGTGCAGCTAATGCCTGGTTAGTTGTAACCACCACTGCTCTGTTGCCCTGATCTGGAGCATCTAGCACCCTTAGGGAAAACCCAGCCTGGAATAACTCCGGGTTCTACAGATGAAAGTTTTCCATTCTATGCATCTATCACAACAAAAAGCATATTCCAACACTTACTACCTACGCGTTCTGGACAGGACAGGTACAATGAGGTGGGGCTGGTCCCCCACCCCGGGTCACACGTCCACTGGGAAGGAGACAGGCGGAGACCAGCACAGGCTGTATGCATACGCGCATTGTGCCAGTTGGTCCCTGTGGTCCCTGTGGTCCCTTCCATGTCTCTGGCATCAGCTTTAATCTCTTCTTTCTCATTTTATTTATTTGCCTCCTCTTTTTTCTGTGTTAGTCTAGAGAAGGATTTGTCAATTTTACCTTTTCGAAAAAAAATTCTTGATTTTCTGATATTTTCCCTCTACCGGGCTCACGGAATGTTTATTTCTTTGTTTTTAGACTTGTTTTATTTGAAAGGCAGAGTTACATAGAAAGGAGAAACAGAGAAAGATCTTCTATTGGCTGGCTCACTTCTGAAATGGCCGCAATGTCTGGAGCCGCGCCAATCCGAAGCCAGGAGCGTGAAGCTGCTTCTGGGTTTCCCATGTGGGTGTGGGGTCCAAGGACCTGGGCTATCCTTTGTTGCTTTCCCAGGCACATTAGCAGGGAGCTGGTTAGGAAGTATGGAGCAACAGGCACTCAAGCTGGTACCTACACGGGATGCTGGCATCCCAGGTAGAGGGTTAACCTACTATGCCATGATACTTGTCCTCTTCTTGGAATCTTATGTTTTACTTTGAACAGTTTATTAAAATCACTTTACCATTAACCAACAACAGGCTGTTTCAAAAACCCATGCCATTACCAGGAAGAAAAGGATTTACAATTGACCTTGGGTCTGTAAGTGGGACCCTTACTACTTTGTTTATCTTCAGCAGCCGTTCGTCCACGTGGGCTTTGTTCTTCTGTGTTGTCTTTTTCTTCTTTTAATAAGAGCTAGCTGAAGAGGTTTTTATTGGAAATAAGCCCAGTTTAACCAGAGATCTTTCCTTGAGAAAGTGATGTAGCCACTTTCAAACAGCTGTTCAGGAAGTGCATTGTTCCCATGAGTTTGTATTCAGGAGCATTATTAATGCGTTGCAAAATGAGCTTCATGTATCTTGTGTATCAGATTTGCAAAACATGCAAATATCAAGAATAACTTTCTTATGCCTTTTACTTAAATTATGTTTGTACTGTTTGTATGTGTGGTATATTGGGGGTAGACCTTTTGTTTTAAAAAACCTGATTTATTAGTGTTATATTATTGTACATTTACCAAAGCAAAACTTTATTAGCATCCTATACTTTTATTAAGATTAGCTTCATATTATGTTATTATTACTGTATGTTGCTTTCCTCTGTGTCATTGTAAGCTTTTTTCTGTGGGAACTACTAATGATCTTTATTTGAATAATGATAATTAATTGATTTTCTAATTGGTCTCTAGTTGCTAGTGATAGGATTATAGGAAGTGAATGATGAGTGGGTCGGAAATGCACCTGCTGTTTCTTGCACTGCCCCCCAAGATGTGACACTCTCACAATGGCATATTTGCTGCACAGAAAATTAAAAAGTTGGAAAATATATATTAAGACCAGTTCTACTTTTTTTCCTCTTTCCAAGCTTAATGATCTCAAGGGCCTTCTGAAGGAAATTGCTAATAAAATCAAATGAAACTGCATGAGCTCTAATGGAGAAAACCCTAATTACAGCCAGGTGAGTGGTTCTAATGGCTTTTTTCTTTCCTCTCAAAATGTCCATACTTAAGACTAATTTGAAATTGTGCCATTTTTCTCAACTCTTTCATTTTCATATATTATCAGACTTGAATATAATGCATTATTCAAAAAAAACTGTAACAAATTTAGGGACATAAAAAGGAGGAAGTGGAAGTATTTCCCCCTGCCAGAAGTTTGCCAGTGGGAGGATATTGGGATGTTTAAGGACCTTCGTTAAGCACCAGCAGCCTGCAGTATCTGTGCTGCTGAGGTATACATTGAGACAAGGTCACACTTTCCAAAACCTTGTCCCTCGCGAATGTCACTATCATAGGTGTCTTTACCAATGACATCCCATAATACACTTATTCTCATGCTGTATTTTTGTAGTGATTACTGTGAGATATGAAATGCACACTGGTCATCTCTTTACTAGCCAGGAATGTTGTAGCGAGGCATCCGAAGTGGTAGTTATTCAAGTGGCTAGCACAGCCTCGCGCCCGGCATACTTCTTGTCCCATCGGCTTTACTTGTATGTTCCCTTGGCCTGGCCAAACTCTGAAAACAGATATTTAAAATGTTGTTAGGGGAAAACAGCAAGGGGCATTTCCTCAAAATAGACATTTTTTGAGAAAGTCAGTTGCAAAGAATGGAAACAAAGGAAAGAATTCCCTCCTTCTTCCCCCCTACTTCCTCCTTCTTTGCTTTCTCTCTGTCCTCCCTCCCACTGAGGCTTCTTGAGTCCCTGCCAGGTGTCCAGGGCTGTGTCCCCTGGCCTGACCCTCACTGACCGCTGCCTGTGTGCTGGTTAACCACAGCATTTCTCTTCACGTGTGGTGGCACTACAGGGGAGGTGGTGGCTGCTCTAGCTTTCTTTCAGTCCTTCTGGCCACTCAGCTCTTTCCCTTGCATTCTGACAGTTACAGATCACATATCAAGTTCTTCCATTGTCGAGGGCTTTGCGCTCACCAAAAGCCTTGCAAATTGAGGGGGAAAAATGAATTCCCAGTCTTTCCTGATGGTGCTTAACCAAGTCGACACTAAGTCTTACAATGCATTGTGATTTGGATTTCACAGCACTTGGCATTTTGTTTAATTTGTGAGCTGAAAAATAGGAGAAACAGTCAGGAACTGTTAAAGATGAGAAAAAAAATCAAAAGGTGATTAAAGAGTGATAATTATCAAAAAGATCCCGGTTCTCTCTCTCTCTCTCTCTCTCTCTCTCTCTCTCTCACACACACACACACACACCACACCTACCTGTTAAAGTGTCAGGATTCTCTCCTCTTGCTCTTTTTCAATGTAACAGCTGTAAACAACATATTGACTTTCTTCCTACTCATTTTCCCTTGCCTTCATCTTAAACTTGCATCAGTGTGTGGAGAGTTAATTAACCGCTGGATGAAAATGGGTTGGGGGAAGGACATGACTTCATTTCTGTGTGTATGCAACCTTGAAAGAGAGAAGATACATAGAGAAAGAATAGCCAGGTTTCTTGCCTCCCACCCCAGTTCTTAACTGCTGACATCTTTAAGACCAATTCATTTGGCATGTCCAATTTTAGCCTGCTCTATACTCCTGGACATCAATTGTCACTTGACATCTATAATATTCTTAAAAAGTTCACAGAGAAAGGCATTTTATGGGCAACCAGCTGCTGGTTGCCCAAACGTTGCTCTCGCAAGGCTTCCTGATGCCTCTTCTCTCGAGGAGTGGGGGAAGCTGTCCTTCCTGGAGGTGCCAGAAGGGAAAGAGAACATAGCTCTCAGGAGGATGTGGGCAAGCACCTGTTGCAATGCAAGGACCTCAGGAGGATGTGTGTTGGTACTTGTTGAAGCAGGTGCAAGGACCTGGCACTGCACAGGTCTGCCAATCCTCCCATCCCTGGCTCTGATCCAGTCACTTGGGATGGATAAGCAGGCGATGGTGCATGTTGTCTTTCATCCACCCAGGGCGAAAGGAGGTAGGGATCTAGAGTGAGAAGTGCTTTCCCTTGCCACTGTACCCAAGGACCTGGGGGAGGTAGGTTCTTGGAGACCGATCGTCCATTTCCTACCTATAGTCCACTGATTCCTGTCTTTGCAGGAGTCACATTCTGAACATGAAGGCATTTGAAATAGTTCATTTGGTAGTCATCCTAACGTCACGTTTTGAAAGATTTGGCAAATCTTTAACCTCGTTATCCTCTTGAAATATATGCAGAGGGACTAAGTAAATGAAGCATTCAGAAACTCTGGGTTTTAACCTAGACTGGATGAATTGAGTCGTCAATATTGAACCTCTCTCAGTCCATATGACAAGCTGTGTAGAATGCACCTCTTGGGGTGGGACATCTGGTGCAATGCTTAAGACACTCCCTGGGACACCTGTGTCCTGTATTCAAGTGCCTCTTCTAGTCCCTGATTTCCCTGATTCTAATCCAGCTCTACCGTCACCCTGCTAGTTGGTTCAGCATTTGGGTCCCCGCCCCACATAGGAGGTCTGTATTAGTCCTGACTCCTGGCTGTTGCAGAGTGAGCTAATAGAAGGAAGGTAGATCTCTTTGGTTTCCTCCTCTCCCCTCCCCTCCCCTCCCCTCCCCTCTCCTCTCCTCCCCTTTCTTTCCCCTCCCCACTTTTCCCCTCCCTCTTCTCTCTTTCTCTTTGTCTCTCTCCTCTCTCTCCTTACCTTCAAATAAAATGAAATAATAATAATTATTATAATAATAATAGAATTGTGTGAATTCCCCATGCCTTGGGAATCAGTTGCTCAAAAAAACAGGGAAAGAATTATTTAAGAGAATAAAACATTCTTGAATGCCTAAAGAAAACTCTTAATGTTTGGTAGTAAACTTGGCTGTTTTTGTGTGTCCTACCTGAGACTGGAAGCGGGAGGGTCTGCTGCCCACACGGTGTTTTCTGCTCACAGGGGATGTCCGACTTCTACACCAGGAGCATTTAGGAGCGCTGAAGAATGATTTCGCTAGTGACTACTAAGCTGGAATTCCCACCTTGGATGGTCTTGAGCCAACACCTGGGGATGGAGTGTGACACTGATGTCTATTGGGAAGATGGACTGGGGAAGAGCGGCTCCTATCCTGTGCCTCTGCTGAAGGAGGCTCCTCATGGAAGCCTGCTGCTGGACCCTGCACACTCCATTCCCGCCACATTTGTATTCTTGCCCCACGAATATTAAGGAAGGAGCAGGGTGACTTCTGTAAGAGCAGGAGTCGTCTTGCTTCCACTCCTGTGGTGCCTCTTGGTTCTGGATGATTCTCTAGTTAACACGTTTTCTGTATTACCTAACTGAGCTTGTCAGTGGATCGGGTTCTAAAGCACGCTGCGGCAAGGGGACCATGCTATTCCCAGGAGCAGCTATTTCATCACTTGTGATGCTTGATACTTAAGGAAGAAGAGGCTATGTCAACAGTATTGTTTGCTCTTGACGTCACAGGAGCCCCGTGGAAGGCAGGACCCTCGTTCTTGTGTGAGGAATCACCCCACTTGGTGTCTTGAAAGTCACCTCTGATTTTATCTTCCTGGGTGTTCCTTTTCCTCCTTTTGTTTATCATTGTTCTCATTAAACATAATGCATTGATATTATAAAAATGTAGGCCACCTAGAGACACAGAAAAGCCCCCTACCACATAGAGATATCACTGCTAACATTTCTGAAAGGTTTTGCAGGTCTTTTTTCCCCTAGGCATGTCTCATTTTCCTTTGAACCTTTTATACAAGGTCATGTCATATGCAATTATGTATAAGCTTCTTCACTTAATATTCTAGCAAAGATGTTTTCCTCATACTCATAGTCTTTTTAAACTTCCTGTTACCTAGTCCTCAGTCCCCAGTGACTCCTGCGATATTAATCATTGAAGACTATTCCTGATTGGCCACCAGGATGAGCATCCTTGAGCATGAATCTTTGTCTGCATTTGGGAAAATTTCCTAAGGCTGGATATATCTATTGATTATCAAGCCATTTACAGAGCTTTTCAGAAATGTATAAAAATAGGAACTATTAACTTGAACATAAGGTATGAGATACGTGAGCCTACAACTATTAAAATATTTAAGCCTTAGTGTAGAAAGAACTCAATATGCTTATTTAAATATTATGGGTGGTAATGTCGTTTGGTATAGAATTAGAGAGATCGCCCTGTTGAATGCTCCTAGTTCTAGCTTCCAGTCAATAAGGCAGTTTAAGTGCCCATGTTTGGGTTTTCAGCTTTGAACAGACAATTCAGTGCCAGAAGAAGGATGTCTCCTAAGGGCTATTAAAAATAATCTAATTAAAAGAACTATGGAAGCACGGACCTCCTCCCCCACCTCGACGTTTACGTTGCTTTTGTCTGGACCATTCACAGCATTCATAATGTCTGCAGTGAAAGAGTAAATAAGTGAATGAAGGCGGTGAAAGTGAAGACCTTTTCACTTAAGCCCCAGTAATGGCTTCAGAGGGAATCTCTTTTCCTGGGGTCCAACAATTCATGGTTTCAAAGACCCATAGTAGTTGGGACAAAATTTACATGACAATACTTGTCAACAAATGGAATGTCACCAGGTTAGAGAATGCCACTCTCATGTTACCATGGCAACCGGAAAACCTGCCTTTTTTAAAACTACTACAAATCCACCCTTCTTGGGAATAATAAAGTGTTAGGAGGATGCATAAGATTGGGCAGAGAGAAACAACAACCTTAGCTTTCAACTGAGGAGTTGGAATAAAATCAATACATCCTCTTTAAGACATCCCCAAAGACAAAATTAACGTAATCTACTTGCCAGTCTCTCTCAATGAATTTATCTGTAGATTCCTAGTTCTGCTAAGCTTAAGAAACAGGACTGTGTGCATGTTGGGGTCGTCAGCAGCAGAAATTCTCTTGTTCACTCTGTAAGCAGAAAACTTGGTCTCCTCTGCTCCTTGGTGGCTGGGTTGGCATGATTCGCCTATGTGATTTTTCCTTATGCAAACTCATTATTTCTAACACAGCTCATGGAAAGAGCATGTGGATCAGATATGCCTCCAGCCTGATATATGGCTACTGAGAATCCTGCACCTTGGTTGCAGCACAGGAATCATCTTGCTTTTGGCGTCTTACTGAGAGTGAAAAACAACTTAAAACTCCTTTGCTAACAAAGTCATGTCCACAGGGATTTGATGTCCCTGTTATGTGAACAGATTCCCCAGCCATTGACTAGAACCTTCTAATTGAAGGCTACCAGAAGACTGCCCTCCTGTGGTTCTGATTCTTACCTGAGGGTGGGGGGGCACAGATCTGGACCCCAGGGTCGGCTTTTCCATCTTCCTGGTCAGGCACCCATCTTTGCACCAGGATCTCTGGCTTTGCTGACCAGGGCCATGCCAGTGGCAGAGGTGTCACAGGTGGCTCCAGGTCTCAGCCAATGTCTGCAAATTCACCTGGTGATGTGGCCTCAGGCTCAGTGTGGGACATGATTGTTTCTTTTTAATTTGTGATGTTTCACTCCCTGCAGTGTTCTTGGCTCTCCCATGCCATCCTTATTTGTTCCAGGAGGAATCAGGGAAATGCTTTTCTCTCCAACTGCTGCTTCTTGGTTCTTTGCAGGCAGAATGTGGTGTTGTCATGGAGACACTTGCTGTCTGCAGCCTTGATCTCAAAATAAATAAATAAAATAAAAATAAAGAAGGCTTGGAAGTCAGCTTTGAGTCTTCGTCTTTATTTTTTTCTGCTATCATTGAATGACCGAGACTGGGCTTTCTAAAATAAAGTGTGCTGTGCTTGTAGCCCTGGAAGGTGGCCCTAGGGTGGGGCGTCACAGCAGGAGCACAGCAGGAGAGTGAAGGGCTCAGCAGGGAGCCCTAGGGATGCAGGGGCCTGGCTTGCACTGATAAAAAACCATGGCAACCAGAGTGCTTTGAGAATGACATTACTCCCTTCTGAGGGTAGCATTCTGTGACCTTGCCACCCTCTGCCCAGGTTGGGCATTGAAGCTAGTGGGTTAGGCTGCCACTTGGACACCACACCCCATGTCAGAGGGCATGGAGTTAAGTCCCAGCTCCCCCACGTCTGATCCATCCAACTTCCTGCTGGTACATTCTGGGAGCAGCCGAACACGGTGCGAGTGCTTGGACTCTTGCCACCCATGTCTGAGATCTGGATGAAGCTCCAGGTTTCTAGCTTTGACATGGATTGGCTGTTGTGGGCATTTGGGGAGAAAATCAGTGTGTGGAAGAAATAAACAAAAATAAATAAATTAGTACACATTTAAGAATTATAGGTTCTGCCACTCCTAGCACTGCTACTCTGGGGATGAAGCTTCTGACATGTGAGCCATTGGGGAACATTTTTGGATCACACTTCACCTAGCTCACGGCCCTTGCTGAGCCTCAGGTGTGAGCAGGTTAGTCTTTATTCTACCCAAGGTGGAACTCTGTGGGGATGAAGCATTCCTTTGTGGCTGGGGTCTTGCTGATATTAGACTGAGTCAATGTCTCCAAGCTACAGGAAGAGTGGGACCTGGTGGGGACTTAGGAGGCTGCTCGTGCACATGGACACTGCCAGACGCTCTGGAACAGTTTCTTCTGGCCCCTGCAGGATTCTTGACAAAGAAAAATTTCCTTTATAGCCTTAGGTGCATGCTATATTGTCATGAAGTGTTGAATGGGTATAAGACTGGGTGGCCTCTGCCCTCCACCACCCCATAGTCCTTGTGGGCAGACAGGGTCATGGGCAGTGAGCTGCAGGTGGATGCTGCATGGTGGGATTCACAGAGTATGTAGTGGGTGCGGGCTCAGCAGGTACCTGTGGATAGGACAGTACTGCACATTTGGGGCCTGAATCGTGTGTGCAGGTAGGTGGAGGGTATTTCTCTTCCCAAATCCTCTTCCCGGTGGTCATGCTGGCATCTGCAGGACTGAAATGCTCTGAGAAGCAAGCCACAAGGGCTACGGAGGCTCACTGACTCTTGTGCATGCGACAAGGACAAGGCCCTGACACTGCTGGGATTCTGGGAAGATTGAGTGGGCAGGAGAGCATCAAGGAGGTAGCCAAGGGACGAGGCCAGGAGTGTGCCTCTCTGTGATGGCACGAATCTTCAGAAACACAAAATCCACAGGAAAACACACGTCAGTAGATCCCGTGGAAGACGGTGTGCCTGTGGCCCCTCGTGGCCTCGCACCGTGCTGCGTTACAGCTGCAGCCTGCAGAGCTGTCTCAGTGCTGCTCAGTCCTCCCAAGGCTCCACCCTCTGACCACATGTCTGCAAATCACATGGAACGCATTGTGCCTGTGGCCCCTCATGACCTCACGCTGCACCGTGCCGGGTTACCGCTGCAGCCTGCAAAGCTGTCTCAGTGCTGCTCAGTCCTCCTGAGACTCCACCCCCTGCCCACGTGTCCTCCTTCTCCACCACATTCTGCCTAGCTCTTTAATGAGGCTCTCAGCACATCAGGATCTTGACCTAGATTCCCTTCAATAGGTTTATCCTCGGACCTCCCCAGCCTTTTCCTAAACTCCAGGAAGCCTGCCTCAGCATAGACCTCATACCAGCTGCCCACCTGGCCCTGCTGCCTGAGCTGAGGGATGTGTCCCTCTCCTAATGGGTTCCTGGCCTTGATTCCCCACAGCCCCACTCCCCAGGAAATCCAGCTGGCTCATGTTTTCTGTCCACCTCAACCCCTCTATATAGCACTTTTCTCTTCCTTTGTTTCGATGCCCCAGTGGATTTTTTTCCCAAAAAATATGTATTTATTTATTTAAAAGGCAGAGCCTCTTAATGCATCTCCCTCTGTCATTGGACTACAGAGTTTTGCTTTGTTTATGTTTATTTGTTTTTATAAGTGAAGGGATTGTAAAAAGGCAGAAAAATTTGGGTATTTTTGTTTTTAAAGATTTGTTTAAAGATTTTTCTTATTAAAATGCAAAGAGAAAGAGAGAGAGAGAGAAAGCTTTCATCTATTGGTTCAAATGCCCAACGGCCATAAGGACCCAAGATAAGACCAGTCCACAGGAGTC